AACCCAGTATTAGCATGGCATGCCGATCAAAGTGAGAATTCAGTTAACATAAATATTTTAATTATTGCAGTTATTTATTTTTTATTAAATAGTTAAATGACCTTTAAAGTCCCCATGTTTTTGACTGAACAAGTACAAGCATGTTTCCATAGTCAGCAATAAAATGCAAAGCAAGAGTTGTAAAAATTCACTTTACACATGGCTTATGTACAGCCATTTAAAAAAAGTTAACTTTAAAATCATGCTACTGCACTGACAAAACCACAAGTCTAACATCCATCACAAAAAATAAAAAGAGAATGACAAAAATACAAATATTAGAAGAAAGAGTGAAATACCCAAATTAGAGAATCAGCAAAAGTTCACCACAAAACCAATATTTTACCTTTCGTCATTTTTTTCAGCAGAACTATACTTCTGAATGTACAGCAATGCTTTTGACACTTTTACATTGTAAATCAACCAAGTTTACAATGAAATTTATTGTCTCGGTGTGTTCAATTCACATATTCCTTAGATTGTTCTCTATTGGTAGCAGCATGCAATAATTTATAGATTAAAAAAAAAATGAGAAAGAACGCTGCTGCAAAACAAACCAAAATCCTGTTGAAGCCTCAAGTTGTTGCGGTTTACCTAAAGAGTGCACTCCATGTGTGAACATTAATGGCAAAGAACAAGAATGAAACAACTCCTTGGAGTTTGTTTCTCTTGTTTTTGGCAACCCCTAGAGCAAGTTTTCTCAATTCTGGTCTTCAGAGACCATTTCCTTGCATGTTTTATGTGATTTTCTTCTGCCACACACCTGACTTGAATAGATGGATGATTTACAAGCTTCTGCAGAACTTGATGGCATGCAGAGGAGGTCATGCAGTCATTTGAATCAGGTGTTCTGAAACAGAGACTCATCAAAAATATGCAGGGCCCCAGTCCCTGAGGATTGGAATTAAGGAACACTGCCTGAAGATGTCCAGCAAAAAGGTGTTAACAGCTCTACACGTAACTATCTAATACAACAATCAACAGAATGCTGAAAAGAGATAGGTTGTAAACAAAACTTCCAGAGCATGCGGCGCCGCTGGCATGTCAAGACATCTTGGGGAATGCATGTCTTAGATGCCAGTTAGCCATCAAGAGACAAATTAGTCATTCATTCATCAGCATGCCAATGTATTTTACAGATAAAACTTGTAGTTACACAAGCTCTTCCTGCTAACAATTAAAAAAAAAATTTGAAAGACAGTCAAAGATCCTGGTCCAAATTTATTTGTTATGGCCCATCGCACACTAGAACGTTGCACTGTATTTTCCTAAGAAAATAAAATCCTTTTTATGTGGATAGAACTGATGATAGCTTTATAGGGAGGAGTATTATGCAACATTGATTTTTTTTTTGCACTTTATGCCAAGTAATACTGTTATTTCCTCCTCAAACACATACCTGGAGAGCTGCTTTGACTCATTAATACATGTTTGAGAAAGCCTTAAATCTCCCATGGCAGCTATTCGATGCGTATTTACCCAAGGCTCCTCCTTGGAGCTTCAGTCTCCAACTGAGCCTCCGCCTTCACAGTATCCCTCCTCTGCTTCTCCCCCATACAGCTCCACCAGACTAGTGGCAGAAGCAATTAGCAAACACCTGGAGGAACTGCGCATCTGTTAAGCTTATCATTCAAACTACAACGCTCCTAAGAAGAGTTGCAAAACTGCGTCAATGGATGGACTGGAGAAGCAGCGTTGGGATGACGTGCTGAAGTGGGAGTGTCAGAAAAGGAGGTAATAAAAGAGATGTGGGGGACTTTAGATCATATTTTATTCTGTTAAAATATGATTCTATTATCTTTCCTATGAATATTTTTGTTTTGTTTTGTCATTAAAAAGCACTGTGTTTCATTGCCCATGTTAAGCTGAATATTCATATAAATGTTGGTAACTATTCTGGCTGAGAGTGAAATGAGTCTAGAAAGGGATCAGCTTTTAACAGGCGCTTAGGGCAGCTTTGGGTCCTAAGTTTCTGTGTTGAAGAACGTAAGCTCAGTAGAACATAGTGTGACGCACGTCGGATTTATGAATGCCGTTTTGTATTTTCAGGTTAGCCGAAGTAGTGAAAAGTTACCAACAGGTATTGTGTGTTTGTGACACGAAGTTGTAAAGTTTCATAAGACAAAATGTATGTTGCTGTATTAATAACGGAGATATGGTTATCTCAGTTGAGACAGCTAAGCTAAGGTTTTGTGTCGAAGAACGTAAGCTCAGTAGATCATAGTGTGACGCACGTCGAATTTATGAATCCTGTTTTGTATTTTCAGAAAAGGAAAGTAAAGAAAATCTACAACCACCGCATGTCTCGACGTCAATATTGTTCGAGTGTGCAACAGAGACAGGCCAATTTCAAGACATCAGAAAAGGGATATGATGCGAAGTAAAATTACTTTAAAATTGCTTTTGATATATACAGCATTTTAATAACTGAAGTTAACAGCTACTATTACTGTTACTCTACAATTAACTATTTGCTTGAAAAATACATTAAAACACCTTCAAAAGCAACATCAATAACGAATTAACTAATATTTTGTATGAAATGCCAAAATTAACATCACCCCAGAAGTATGGTAAATATTGTATTATGGAAATGGCAAAAAAAAAAAAAAAAAGACAACAAAAGACAAAAACAAAGAAGCAAAACCAGAACTTATTTAATTTCTGTCGATACATAATGTAATGGGCTTTGATTTAGTGCTCAGCATTTGTACCTGGATAAAAGGCCGTCTCGTCTTCTATAAGCTCTCATGTGTTACAGGGTCTGTTTTCATGATTCAAAATCCCGCAGTTTTCCAGACTCAACCTTTAAATTCTCAATCATTTTCAGATCTTTTCAAAATATAAGTACAAACATTTTATATAAAGCTAAAACTGTTCACAAAATACATTTTACAAACTAAGACCAAACCACATATTATGAATATAAATCTCTGTATTTTATTTAATGATTCAGATTTGAAGTTTTTTGTACCGTGATTTGAAGGTAACAGGATCTGGAGCTCGTTTTGTTGCGTAAATGCTTTCATTTATAATCTGGAGATAACATAAGCTTAAGTTTTTTGTTAAGAATAAAGTTTCAACACCTCATCTTAATGATAACTCCAGCAAGAGTTTTAATAACAATTTAATATTTCCCATTATCATGACATAAAATCTCAGGCTGACTGTCATAATACTATGTAATATAACCGTGAGGCACAATTGCCTTGAGCTTTGATGTTGAGATAAACTATTATCCCTGGGGAGTAATTTGTTTTGCAGCAACAGAATTAATGCGAATTATCATTGAGGCTGACACTATCATGGACAAAAGAACATTTGTATCTTTTTTATTACATTTTATTTCCACCTGTTCTAAGGATGTCCTTGTCTCAACATTGAGAAAATTAAATCTTGTTTTTCTTGCCACACGTTTCATTATCTCGTCAGGCCAATAAGATTCTCAGTCATTGATTGTTCTAATTGAGACTTCAATCTCATTATGTTAGAAAACAATAACTCAAACTTTGCTTATAATCTCACACATATCTAAGCACAAATTCATGAGCTAATGGGTGACACATTTGTATTCCTGCTTCACATTATTCTGTGTTGTAATGAACAATGAAACTGGGTGTAACACTCATCTTTGGACTGAAATTGCAATCTAATCGAAAAGAAAAATAGATTTTTCTAGACTGTGGGTGAAAATAGAACACGGATAAAGATATAAACCACAAATGATTCACCATCGTCAATTTTGCATTCTTCAAAAATGTGTGGAAATCCTGGGGTTATGAGTAAAACAGAAATCTCTGGTTATTAACCCATTATTATCATCATCATCATTCCAAGTCGATGGCTTTCAGCTTCATCTTTCTTTTCTGGCCTCTCTGCTCTCTGTCACTCTCAATGACAACAGGCAGTAGTTCACGCAAAATCCTCATTTAAATGGGGGCATCTGCACCACTTTTGCATGTGCCATTTTTGTTGACTGCATGCAACATACTCACATACTGCGCGTGCAATTTGTTGTTTGCTCATGCAATTTGGTGCTCTTCATTCTGACTCATTCAAGATCAGGCCCAAAGTGTGGTCAAACATTTTGACCACACTTTGACTACAAAGTGGTCAGCGTCTTCCTCATTCAACCTGAGGAAAAAGCTAGTAAGAAAAGAGTCTTAGTTGTCTGAGTGCTCTGGTACCAGTCCCTGTTTTGCACAAAAAACCAAGTGTTGGCATAAGTGGAGTCTGACAGAAGAAAAGAAACCTTAGAGGCACAACACTCCACCGGTTAGTATTCACAAATAGGCTGGGTCATGGCTGTGCTTGTGCGTGCACATGTTTGAGAGTGTGTCTTTGTGGGCTTGAGTATGAATATGGTTGCGTGCGCGCGCATGTGTGTGTGTGTGTGTGTCCCAAGCTTGAGGCAACCAGGCCAGCGGCTACAATTACAATGACGGATGTGAAAGAACTGGGTCGGCTTCGCAAGAGATCTGCCCCTGGGAGGACAAGACCAGCTAGAGCCCTGAATCAATACAGAACACATACACACATCCGAGGTTGTGTGTGACTAAATTTTGCATAGAAACTAAAGGACAAATAAGAATAACACAAATAGGAAGGAAACCAATGCACCAAAAGTGCAAATGAGCAAATAAAGGATGACATATTACTGTTCATTGCTGTTCATTGTTTCTTTCTGCAAACCAGGAAAAAAAAAACTACCAACATTCAAACTCAAGGTAGATGTTTTCCTCACTGCCTACATGTCTGATTGTCTGTCTGTCTCTCAGTGACATTAACAATACCCGTGCACACACTCATGTGGTCCCACTCTAACCTCAAGCCCACTCTGAGAGGCAGCATCATTCAGAGTCTATAAACACTTCACTGAGTGACAAGCAGAGAGTGTTTCTGGTATTCATGCAAAGTGCGTCCTTATTTATTTTTCTTACATAAATGTTTGTTTTTCTTACCTCTGGCAGAAAGCTTCTTGGTGTTGATGATTTTAGCAGCATACTCCTGTCCAGATGAGATCTTCACGCACCTCCTGACCACAGAGAATGCTCCCCTTTAATTAAACACAAACAAAATAAAATACGTCAGCGATGTGTCTTTGATGAAAAAAGAAAAAAAAAAACTGCCCACTTGAAAAGCAGTCATGCCAACCTGACTCTCTGGGCTGAATGAAGTTTCTGTTACTGATTTTTCCATAAGCGTTTGATGGTAGAATCAAACAGTTACAGGTCAAAAAGAATGTCAAAGGAGTTCAAAGAAGAATTTGTTGCAACCAACCCAAGCAGAGAGCCAGTTGTGAGTTAGGCGACCAAAGAGAAACTATGCCAGTTAGCTTTGCTTTGAACCTTTGAACAGAGAGAAAATGTTTCAATTGGGATCTAAAAGTCACATTTTGACCAGCAAAAACAATGAAAACTTGCAAAAAGAAAACAAAACACACACACACACAAAAAAAACATAAAAATATACAGCTAGAGAAACAGCTGGTGAATGAAACTGGTGTGGTATGGATGCATCTCAGCCTGAAAGGCCTTACAGGTCACCAGTAGGTCTCAAACTAAAAAGAGCAGATTTTTTTCCAGTCAGTGAACACATCACACCCAAGCAGAAATGTATACTGCACAAATAGCAACACCTTTCAGTGTGGAAGTTTCACTGAGGTTAGAGGTTTTTTTTTTTTTTTTTTACAGCATAGCGAGGTGTTTCATGATTATATAAGAAAAAGTACAGAAGACCTAAAAGGCTATTTAAAAGGTTTCTGTGGAAACATGCCTGCCATGCCTGCTGTTCATTCAGGCTGTTACTTTTAAACTATTTTGGAGTTAGATTTTCTAGATAATAGGAGAGCTGAATGCATTACAAAAAAAAAAGTTGGTTTATTTGATCCTTTTGAGCCTTCAAAGTTTGTCATAAAACATTCTGGATTTGGAAACGTTGGCAGAGTTAAGCTTAGGATCAATTTTTTTTTTTTAGGGAACATAAAAGGGACTAATGGTAACAGCGCTAATTACTCATTACTCATGTACAAAAGAAAGCTTATAATGACAGATCCTTTGTCATTTTCTCTTAGTTTAAAAAAAAGTAGTGAAAACCTTTTTTACACTGCCTAAATAAGTCATTTATGACTGCTTACGGCAGAAAAGCCAGTAAAGCGGTTACGTATAATAGAATTGGCTAGAAGTGTTATCAGCATGGCAAAGTCTTGCATAACTGGAGGTTGAAAACGCTCATTAGTACATTTTACTGACTTAAATACCGCACCAGACAAGAGAAACGATTATATGATGAAGCAGCTCGTCATCGATTTTCAAAGTTAGAAGGAAACACCCTTTAAAAAGGTAAGGCACAGCAGATTTGTTTGTTACCTGAGGTTTGTTTACTTCATTATTCTTCCATTACACTGTTGAAATCAGTAATCACAAGTGATGTCATACTGTTGCTTAACTTGTCTGCAATGATAATAAAAAAAACTGCAAGAATTACTAACAGATATTAATCTACAAAAAGCTGGATCTTCAGCTGATAGTAGGCATTTTGGGGATTGTCAGCACAGTAACAGGTGAAGATGACATGTTTGTCTATCAAGTGCAGAGGTGAGTGCTGCATTTCATCTCACAAATTTACTTATCCTACAAACCTTCTGTACACTTTTTTAAAACAAATATCTGTATTGTTTCAGTCCTTTTTTGTTTTGGTGTCAAGGTCATTAATGAAGATCAAAGAACTAGGTCAGCTATATTTGAGGAATAGAAGGAGCACAGAGCTGCATCCGATGCAGCCTTGGAAAGGTTCACCCATCTTAAGGCTGCTAGGCTCTGCAGTCATGGAGACACCTTTAGCATCCAATATTCCTCATGACCTGAAGTCAATCCTGACCTCTGATTTATTGATTTTCTGGGGTCTGATAGCTGTGTTTATTACAGCCATTATTTTATTTGGTGAAGGGTGTGTAACAAACTAAATCAATAATTGTGCAACAACTTGTTGATAAATGGTGATTTAAACCTTTGATTTATCTAACATGAATGAAAATTTTGCACAAAAACAACCTCTTTTATAGTACTTATTGCAGAAAAAAATCATAGCATAACCAGTTGCATGAGATTTCAAGTGAATAGATTGTTATAGGTGGATTGATAAATGGTCTGTGCTCGTACAGCACTTTATCAAGTGCAGAGGAGCCCAAAGTGCTTCACCCTACAATCATGGTGGCAAGTCTGACAGATCCTCTGATTAGCATCAGCAGACAAGACAGATGATGAGCAAAACTTAAGAGGCAGACAGAGAGGGACTTGAACCAGCAACCCACTGATCGTGAAGCTGAACACCTACCACTGTCGCCACCATATGAAGCAGAAACTCTACAAATATATCGGCAACTGTGAGGTTTTAGTACGTTGTATGTTTTCAGCAGTACACCAATTTCATTTAGACAACAATGGCTCTTTGAATTGTAAATGTTGCTGAACCTTCTTACAAGGGAAAAAATTGATGCAACATTGAAGAAATTAGGATGATGAGCTGCAGACAGATTTGAGAGATCAGCTCCTCAAACAGGGAAAGAGAGACTGCATTATTTTGGCTGAGAGTTAACAAGCTGCAGACACATAGGATTCAAGGCTGCAGGTCAGGAAGCACATGACAACAATACATAGAGGCCCACACCTTTCAAGGAGTAAGCAAGACTTTTAAAAGCGTGTACAACGCATATCTGCTGTGCACAAAAGAAGCAGGTAAAATTTTGTGACTACTAGCCTAATAATGTGTTGGGTCCCATTTTGCTCTTAAAACAGCCTGGTAGAATCCTGAAGTGGTGTTGTAGTAAATGACACCAAGAGCTTCTTTAAGTCGGGAGAGATGTGAAGTGTGGCCGTCCAGAATCCAGACTTGTTTGTCCCACACATCCCATAGATGCTGTAGATTTGATTGAGAGCTGGAGAATTTGAAGGCCTCATGAAAACCTAAAAGTTGTTGCACTCCTTAGACCAGTCCTGAACCATTGTTGTTTCTTGGCTAGAGCATTATGCTGGTGGTAAAGGTGACACTCATGATGGTCCTGGTTCCCTGAAAGGATGACTTGCTTTTCCAATACTCCTTTGGTAGGTCAAGTCAAAGTTGAATCCAAGGGCAGGACCCAAGGATTTCCAGCCAAACCATCGACTTCCCCTCCACTGGCCTGTTCTCTCCTCCATGCCCCTGCTAACATTTGATAGATACTGACCTCTGGAGCCCTAGAACACCTTACAAGAAATGCAGTTTTGAAGACATCTGAACCAAGTCATCTAGGTTTCACAATCTGGTGCTTGCCAAACTCATTCATATCCTCGCGTAGGCCTTTTTTCCTTCTTCCAGCAACGTTGAGTACAAAGTGTTTGCTTGCTACTTAGAATATTATGCTAACTATCTGGTGTAATTAGGGGGTAATCACTGCAATACACTTCACCTGTTAAAAGTCATAATGTTTTGCCTGATCAGTGTATGCTGGTATGTGCAGATGGTGGCCTGCAGCTCTGTCAGAGGAAAGGTGAGAGTTCCCCTGCTGGGCTCTGATAATTGACCATGGATCTATGCTTGGCTAGGGAGTGTGTCATCCTCAACTACATGAGAGCTGTCGCATTCAGTGTGTGTATTTCTGTCACGCAGGAGGGGTGATGGAGGTAGAGAAGGAGGAGTGGGTTACCATATCTCCTAGCACACACACACGCACACGAACACACACGCCGATGCACTTGTCATCCTGGTTAAGCTTTTTAGCAAAGGAGTCCCGCAAATATCCAACTGCAGCATCAGCGGATGTCCAAGAGGGAGGGAAATGACGCCACCCTGCCGAACGACATGAGCACAGAGCGCAAGCAGGGCTTCGGATGCTGGGATTAAAGCAAATAGAAAGCAATTACACTGGCCTGCGTGACGCACGCGCACACACACACGAGAGTGCCTTTAGCCTCTGCATCATAGGCTGTTGGATGAACTGTCAGCGGCGCGCGCACACGCACGCTCACGCTCGGCACACAGACTCTCCAGCATCGAAATCCTAAAGCAGAGCGGCCTATTGCGTAACAAGCCGACATCTCGCTGAGGGAGAGAGAATGACAGATGATAAAAACAAAGGAACATGCGTGCTTACTTCCCCAGCTCCTCGAACAGCTGATATTCGTCGGTGAATCGCGTGCAGATCGTTAAGGCCATCCTGAAGCAGGTGCCGCGGAGGAGTGCAGAGGGGGGGGCGGGGTGTAGGTGTACAGAGAGGCGGATAAGGTGCACTCACAGGCTCCACAGAGTCGTCAACACCGCTCGGTTTTCTACTGAACGTGCAAACCAAACAGAGGGATTCATGCACAGCGAAAGCGCATCAGCGGGATCTACGTCTACTGGAATCTGCGGCAAGAACGCTGCCAGCGCGCGCGCTTCAGAGGTTCTATCCCCCCGGTGTTTGGTTATTTTCTTCACATCCAGCGGCTGGTCACAGCTCGTGGACGCAGCATTTTGTTTGCATTTCGGTGTCTTCCGAGCGTGTTCGTCCTGCTGCTGAGTGTTGTCTTTATGCACGCATCAGACGCCGCACTACCGCACCTACCCCCAACTGTGCGCTCGGCCCCGCCCCTTTGCCTGCATCCTCACTCAGGCCAATGGCAACGAGCAGTCTGACAAAAATAAAACACGAGGAATATGGAGGGAGTCATTTTATTTACAGATAAATAAAATGACTCAAATCAGAAATAATCAAAGGCACTTATTGCTGCTTTTAAATATCTAAAAATGCTGAAAACCTTTTGACAGATTATTGCAACTAATGAGAGAAATTATGGAATATGAATGTGTAAAGGAGTAGTCAGGATTCATTTCTGAGTCCGTAGTGTATCTGTCATGGTTCGGGGTTTGGTGAGGTGAGATGAGACGCAGGCAGCCAGGATGAAGGTGAAAATGATGAATTTAATGATTCAGAGTCCACAGGAAAACAGACTTAGACGAGGGTGGGACACGACGGCACAGGGAAACAGTTACAAATGACGAGGATCTGACAACGAACACAGACAACAGGTGGGGCTAAATACACACAGGGTAATCAGGGGGATACGACACACCTGGGGAGCAATCAACAGGGAGGACAGAGACTCAGGGAACAGGACTACACAGGGAAAACAGGACTGAACACAGAAGAACTCAAAAATAAACACACAGAAACACAGATCACGACAGTATGCTTGTTAATTTTGGATGATTGGCTAAGCAAATTATCATTACATCACAAATTGCTAACAGATAATATATTGTGGGCTTTTCTGGGAAATGTATAATAAAAGGCTTTTCTACAATCCATAGTGTCTAATTTCTAATGCTGTTTATTTGTATTTTAGAGGTCACTTTTAAACCAGATTACGGAGTCGTTGCTATAAAGATAACTGTTTATCAGCTGGTTTTATAAACTGAATTTGTATTATCCCCAAATTGATCCTGTCCATATAACTTGAATTGAAATTAGTGTCAATGTAATTAAACAGAACTAAGCCATTTCTGTCCACTCTAACTGAATGTAATTATATGCAAAATGGATTCGCTTCTTTTTTGAAACCTGGCTGTATGTCTAATATAATCCTAGAGGACGGTGGACCTCTGCCACTCTTTGCTCTTTTGTAGTTTAAAACAGGTTTTCTCTCAGGATTGCTCTTTATTTAGCTCCATCCATCTCATCAACACCGATGAAGAAAAGCATTTTCACAGATTCTCTTCAAGATGGATTTCGTCAGTTGAGTTCATCTTGTTTAATTTTACGCAATGAGGCAAAAAATAAAATTAAATGTGTTCATACAGTGTGTAACTATCCAGTTTCAACTATGTGAGACTGATTGATTTAATTAGCCAGTAGCACTAAATTCAGTACAGTGTTTTGCATGATGAAGTATCCCTCCTTTCACCACACCTAACTTAAATTGTTGATTTATATTTAATTGTTGCAAGAGTCTGCCTATAACATTTCATCATTTTCATCAGCTGTGTTCTTTTTTTTTTTTTTACCAGACAATAACTTAGTAGCTCTAAAACCTTGGGAAAATCTATTTTGATTAATGGCACTATTCCTAATATTTATAGTATAGCAGCAAAACCTGGTGAAATGTGCACTTTAAGTTTAATTCAGCAGTTTTAAGATCTGTTCATCTTCTTGGGTGGCCAACCTCACACACAATTTGATAAAGATGCTGCCTGACACTAGTTATATTTGCACAAGCAAGATATTCAACCCCTGTTGTGATCACAACTACTGGTCTGTTTGTGTTTCCATCTACAAGTTAATGTAGTAGAAGAACTTTGAAAAAGCAACCAAACTGCATAACTAAAATAGTGAACCTCTCACTGTGGTTTTTGTGCCATTGAACAAAAAAAAAGGCACAAAGCTAAAATCTGAAACCTTGAAGTCACAAAAACCATTTAGGCAGCCTCAGGCTTAGAGAACGTTTACCATACAGATGTCACAAGTCAGTTTGCCGAGCTTTGGAGAAATACATCACATTGTTACTTTATATCAGCTAACTAGGAAAGAACTGAACTGAAGTAAAACAAAAACATAGCTAATTAAATAAAAGAGGAACTAAGAAACACAGAAACAAATGAAACCCAACTAAACAGCCGAAGATCATGATATTTTGAGTAGATTCATCATTTATGGTGGTGCCTCGGGGATCTGGGGGTTGTACCCAAGGATGAACTTGACTTGTGGAGGTCCACAGTTCTCTTCCTCATATCATGCCTGGTGGATTTCTCTTGTTTTTTTTCTTTGCTGTGAGACAAGGATTCGGTCTGTTTGATGTGTGTCCTTAACACATTCACCATTGGGCCTTCATTTAACTCAAATTAGCTATAGATTAACTCGTAGGAAAAGCCATTTACATTTCTGAATTTCAGAGAAAATTACATATTTAGGCAATTTCATCTATTTAGCAAATTAGTTTGGTAAACCTAATTGTCCTAAAACAGGGAAAGTTTGGTCTGGATTAATTTCAAATGTGGAGAATAAAGCAGTCATGCATCTTTTTGTACAGTTTTAGTAAATATCTGGTTTCAATTGTTCACCATGGATGAATATGTGGGAAACCACATACTTGCTGCGACTTACAGTTCATGAACTTTGATTTTTATCTACTTCTCCAAATATGGGAATCTTGGTGGAGTACGCAGTTGGAGATTTTAAATGAAAATCTGTTGGCTTGTTTTAGAAAACTAAAACAAAGGGTCAGAAGTTGGTCTGTTGACAGGATAATGATCCAGAAGTTATAGCCAACTCAAAAGAAACAAATAGTTTGTCAGCCAGAACAACTGAAAACATATGTTTATGCTCGTTCTTGGTGGTGAGTTGAAGTAAACAGAGCATCGGGACTCTGGAGAATCGAGACTCTCGGTTCTCAGTTTCTGTCCTCCAACTTTGAAATGCAAAATGAGAAAACTAAGTGATGGTAAGATGAGGATGTACAGTAACTATTAACAGATGACCCACCAATATGTAGCACACACAATTGTGCATAAAATAAATACATGTAGTAGTAGAAGCTTTTTTTTTTTTTTCAAACTTTTCATAATTTATTTTAAGAGTATTTACTCATCCTTACAAGGGATAGCTATGATATCTTGGATATTTTCAACATGTACAAAGAGAAATAACTTCTATTCTTACGAAAAGTTGGAATTTGTTTTAGACGCAAGATTCTGACAAGACTACAATTCAGACAGAATGCAATGACTCATGCATACTGCAGGTGGCACACTTGTCTGATATTTGCCACACAGCTTCACACTGAAGGATATTCGAAAGAAAAACATGAGAAGTATTTCCATTTAAGATTTTTATTTAAAATTAGAAATAACATTTAAATTTTATAAATACATAGATAAATAAATAGAAATAGAAACAATAGTGCAATTTTACAAACAGTTTCTTTATACTTATAGTATGAAGCATACAAAGAGGGGGTGGTAAGTTAATAAACATTGCATTTGATGCAAACATCCATTTGTACACGCTTGTCCCTTTGTGGGGTCAGGAGGGTTGCTGGTGTCTCTTTCCAACTAATGTTCCAGGCGAGAGGCAGGGTCACCCTGGACAGGTCACCAGTCTGTCGCAAGGCAACATAGAGACACACAGGACTAACAACCATGCACACACACACTCACACCTATGTGTGGGAGGAACCCGGAGAACCCGGAGAAAACCCACACATGCACAGGGAGAACATGCACACAAACCCCGGGCTGGGTATCAAACCCAGAACCTTCTTGCTACAGGGCAACAGCTCTACCAACTGTGACACTGTGCAGCATTGATGCAAACAATTTGAGAACAAAGATGCTGAACTTTGATTCAGCATCAGGCGAATCAAAGTTTAGTGGCCCATCGTCAGACCAAGTCAAGTCTTTTGATTCTTTGAAGTCGTTGCCTTTATTCATTTCTCCTCATCGTTTCTTGCTGCAGAGAAGAAGAATCAGGGGGAAAAAATTATAAATATTTTGTGGTTTGAACTCAAGGCTTTAAAATTGTACATCCTTGTATTATATTTCAGAAAGGTTCAAGCTAAATCTTACTTTGCCATGATCCTCTGAATTACTTTCTTGACCCATGGAGCCTCAGGGTCCAGGCAAACTTCTTGGCCATCTTTTTTTAGAGTGGCACTGCAACACAAAGTGAAAACAATAAGTTTTGACATACCAATGCAATTACAATGATAAAAATCATCATCATAATCATCATAAACCCCAACGGAATGAGGCAGGAAATTAATTGGCTCTTACATGATCTCGGTCTCCTCGCAGTGAGAGTTGGCAGGAATCAGCTCCACTTTCTCTATGTGGCGCCCTATGGGTCTGCTCTCAGTCTGGATGCAGCGACAGTGCAGCTCCACTCCTAAGCTTCTCAGACTCATTCCTGTGCGGAGATTACAAATGCATATTTTCACAAAGTGCAATAAGCAAAACTGCCGAAGGAGTTATTGTTTAATAAACTAAAACAAACTGAGGCTTACCTTTGCTGGTGGCGAGGAAGGACAAGAAGATTAAGACAGAGAGGGTAATAATGCTGATTTTCTTCATTTTGGCTTCAAAAAAGTCTGTAGCTAATTCACTTGTGAGAATAGATAAGAACTTTCTAATAAATATTCTTTGACAGCAAAAAGATTTCTTCTATTCTGCAACAGATTTCTTTCTCTCGGTTGCTCTTTTCCTCTGCTCTTCCAGGCTTTGCTGCTTTCTCCAGCTGCTGTTTGAATCTGCCGGAGAGAAGTCCCGGCTTTTATTGGCCGTGGAAGTGACTCACTTCCCCATGTCAGCGTGTGTTGTGCAAGACAGGAATCACGAAGTGGGAATTTACGCTGCTTCGCTTCACTGTCTCTCATTCAGACCTGTCATAAGGAAAAACACAGACTGTAATAACTGAGTAAGGCATGATTGCTTTTTTTCATATGTTCATTGTTTTAAACCTTAGGCATGTTGTACCTGTGCACTGACAAACTGTGTGTATTAGAGTACAATTCATAGTTGTTTGGTAGACGGTAGGTAAGAAAAAGAATTATATTTATAGCATGTGGATTAATGGGGCTGAATGATAACAATCTGAATATCTGCTGGCCTGCTGCCGTATCTATTACTCCCACTACAATATCACATAAATCTTCAGACTGTATAAACACGTCTTCTACGGCGCACCTGCAGTGGCTGTATTAACAGAATATGGAGAAGGAAATCATTTTGATCGTTATGAACCGTTGACATTTTTGTGTCCTTACAAGCATGATTTTGCAAGAAGATTAACAGACTTATCATCAATGAATTCATCAAACTTTGAATTCCTTGTGCTTGACACTTTTAAAACAACACCAGGCTGTGAGCCAGAAATTTTCATGTGAACAAAGTCTGAGACTAATCCGACATGCTCCGACACATCTGTCCAGGCGTCACTGCATCTACTTACTAAACAGTATTGGGTAACTTGGGGTCAAGGGATCATGACTTCTGGTTCTGATTCAATAATTTATCATTTATTACTGTGCTCTCAGTTATTTCTACAGGCATAATATATGCTTATGTTTGTGACTTCAGTGCCTTCCCACTATATTCCATCCAACGCTTTTTCTTATTTTGTTACATTGCAACCACAATCCTCGGTCCACTTCATGGTGCCATAAACCCACACAAACTAAGGGAAAACTGAGAAGTGTACTTTTTTTAAAATACATATTAAAATTGTTGTTGCAGATCTATAAAGCTGTCTTTAATCTAATGTCCTTTAATAAAATTCAATGTGACCATTTGCTTTGAGAAACAGCAAGTTGTGGAGAAGTTCAAAGTGTGGTTTATTCCCATAAATCAATATACAACACAGAGGGTTGTTTAATCAATCCAAAAATGAAAATGGCATGGTCCCTAACTTGTCTAAACTTAAACCAAATTAAGAATCAAAACTTTAACATCGCTTTTTAAAGACCCTGTCCAATCTTTCTGAACTTGAGCTGTCATACAAAGAAAAACCTCCGTCTCAAAAACGATTTATGGGTATAATTACATTAAAGGGTTGTCTTCTGCATCATATTGTGCAAGGGACTGCCACACTTTTCAGATTTTATTAGCAAAAAAAAAAGAAAATTACAATCATGTCCTACTTTGCTGTGTAATGGTCCGTTATATAAAATACAGATAGACTAAAATTTGTACTTGTAGTGTGATAAACTGTAAAAAAAAAAGGCAACTGAGTGTGAATATGCATTTGCATGTGTGTGTTTACATTTTAATTTCTTGGAAATAGGAATTAAATATATCTGAAAGAGAAAGGAAAATTTATTTTTTATCCTACATCTCCCTCTTTGGTCAGCTTTGACTTTATTACACGGAAATGAAAGATGCATGTGGTTAAAAGTGAAACATGTGACGGACACTGGAAAGTTATTTGATTTTCACATTTTGTTTGTTGCAGTTGACACTACATCATGTTCATCAGATGAGTTCAAAGCGGCATGTGACCAGCATGAGACCGAATGGAACACATGTACATTTTCACTACTTCCTTTAAAATCAGATCCATTTTTGGTGAGGTTATTATTCAAATGTATGTGTAAAATTTTCCAGGTTGATAGCAAGTTTAGTTAGCACAAAACATTATTTTAAATTACATACAAAATATTTGTTATTGCATCATCGTTCAAAATTTCCACACACACACACATGCACGCGCGCACGCACACACACACACATACTAAATAGGGGAAATTGATTTGACATCCGTATGCGATCACACAGGAAGTAAGAAAAAAATATATCCTCAAGCGTTGTTTGCAAAAATGGGATATTCCTAAATTACTCCTCAACAAAAGCCATTACAATGTCTTATTGTACTGCTAATGGAAGTGGTAAAGATGTGTTGGAAGAAATACTTTAAAAATACACAAAAAGAATACTTTTTTTTTTTTACTCTGCATTCAGTATCATGAAATTGACAAGTTTTTCATATTTTCACAATTAGACCTTCAAGGAGTCAACAATGACACTTCATTCCTCTTGAAACAAATATGTAAATATGGCTTCATATTTGGATGCCTTTATTGCCAAGTCTCTTTTAATCATGAACTCTGACCTTAACTGAGGAAAGTGAGGGCTTTTTGTGACCTCCTGGACGACTTGATGATGCATTTGTGGAGTAATTCTGGTAGACCTTTCAGCTCTGGGAAGAGGACATGGGCATCACTGCTGTACCCTGGCTGTAATTGTGAATAATATTGTGGTTCATGGGAGTCACTGTGCTTCAGAAAGTTCATTGTGAGTCAGCGACTTTTCATCTCATCTGTTCTTGAATGACAGATAAGTGAGTTCTTAATTTTTCTAGTATAGCAGAAATCAAATGTGGATGTGGTAAGTGGGATTCAACACAGCTTTCTAAAAACATGTTTGATCAAAGTTATTTTAACAAGGGGTGAATTATTTAATTGGACAACTGAATCTGTTCGGTAGAAATGTGTGCAGGAAGTACTTATGTTAAAACCAAATTTTGTAAAAAAAAAAAAAAAAAGCCTAGAAACGTTTCTTCATTAGAAAAAGAGGTGAAGGGGAAACATCAGTGTCTTCCAAAAATAATATCTATTACAAACTAGGCTACAATAAAACAGAGGCAACTTTCACAATATTTTGAAAAGAGATACTGCAAACTGTTCTCCACAGCAGGCTTTGCCAATATTTCCAAAAGTGCATTTAGTTTATTTAACTAAATCAAGATGCCCCTCTGTGAAAATCTTTCCCACGTCTCTTCTAGATAAAAACTTTTTTTTTCTGACATGATCCGGGAGCACTGTGCTCTGCAGATTTGCTTTTAGTTTCAACTTTGTCAATGAGCTTCTTTGTGTGCTTGTTTAGCAAGATTTGTTGGTAATCAGAAGATTATACTAAAGAGTATTGATGTTGTAATCTTCATTCTTCTTCTACTTGACATAGATTTGGCACACCCAATCGAAAATGTGCATTTATTCCTACTGTAGGTAAAATCTTGACATTTATTTATTTATTTATTTATTTACTATGTTGTAAAAATGTATACATGCAGAAGAAATCTGATTGGTGCCAGACATTTTTGTAATCAGACTAACATTATAGAAAGACAACAAATGCTGCAAAGCCTTCCTTGACACGGCAAAAAAAAAAAAATAGTATTAGTAATGATATAGCAAAACTATCAATGCCCCTTGAATTTTTACACATTTTGACAATGAGGCATCACAAATTATCATTTATCTCATAAAGGCTTCATTAAATAGGCTAACTCATATGCATTGTTTTCAATTTCCTGTTAATATTGTGAAAAGTACAGCATGCCACGGTAAACTGAACTTCAACTTTTAGATAAGGACAGCTGAGAAGCAGTAAGGTTGAGCAGGTCAGCACAGCGTCCTGCTCTGCTCTGAAGGCTCACAGAGTCAAGCTGCAGACACATCTTCTCCCTCCCCCAACAGTAAAACATTCCTTTCTCTCACAGATGTGGATGTACCATCAGTTCCTCTAGTCTGCAGTGTGCTGAAACAAGGTTTTCCAGAAACGATTTCCTTACCCTCACATCTTCTACGAAACACAGGTCACTAAAGGAACAGACGTCCAAGATAAAGAGTGCACATAATCTCACATTCATCATCCTGTTATTCCTCTCCTTAGCGTCTGTTTCCTGGTCATACAAAGGTGGGGACACTTTTCCATAAGCTTGCAATATAAAATCATGAAATTCCACTATCAATCAATCAATCAATGAATCAATTTTGTTTGCACAGCACATTTCAGCAACAAGACAGTTCTAAGTACTTTACTTCATACAAATAAAAAGTCATAAAAACATCATGCATCTCCAACTGAGAAACCAGTAACAATCAATATGTCGATCAATGTTGCAGTGGTCATAGGTCAAAAGCAACTCTAAACAGGCGGGGGTTTAGTCTTGATTTAAAGGAACTTAATGTTTCAGCAGTTTTGCAGTTTTCTGGAAGCTTGTTGCAGATTTGTAGTGCAAAGAAGCTGAATGCTGCCTTTCTGTGTTTGGCTCTGGTTCTGGGGATGCAGAACAGGCCAGAACCAGAAGACCTGATAGGTCTCGAAGGTTGAAACAAGCACAGCAGATCAATGATTTATAAACTAAAAACAATATTTTATGGTCAATTAAACTAAGACCTGCTGAGTTTAATCCAAACTCAGCAGGTCTGAGTTTGGACTAAGAAGCCTTTACATTCATTCACCTGAATAAAATTGGGTGCAACCAGTTCAACCAAGTCAAAAGTGCACTACTTAACCACATTGAATCCCACTGCTCTGTATTGGCCTTGGTGTTTTCTTAGAGAATATTTATTTAAAAACAAAATGCATCATGAAGACCAGGGCACAGCAGGTAGGTCAGGAAGTTAAAAGCAACGATAGATCAAGAAAACAAGATCTACACCTTTGAACATGTCACAAAGAAATGCTCAATCCAACTTCTCACTGGGACAAAATATAAAATTATGTCACTCTTTTCAGCTTTTTTGTGCAAAAAATGTTACAAATGTTACAAACCACGTATTATTGTACTTACACTCAACACTATTGCACTACTTTGTTTTGGTCTATCACTTTAAATACCAGTACATCACATAGAACTTTGTATTAATTTGATAAAATGTAAAAAGGTTTGCAAGGCAATGCATGAGTATAGTGGATATACCTCATACACGTGTCTCTTATCTTCTTAGGCAAACTGCTCTTTCACGCCTGTCACGCCTGTTGCCTTGTCATATAAATCTGCAAATGAGTTCAAAGCCTAATATAAAATATGCACAAACAAGAGCTGGGAAAATCAGGAATGAATCATCAGCTTATCGTCACGTCTTTTTCTCTCTCTTTGTTTCTGTGTGTGTGCAATGTTGTAAGTATGTTTTGTTCTTCACGTGTCAGTTTATTGCAGCATGTTTACAATAGCTTAAACTCAGCTGGCGCACGGGAGTGACTGGGGTTAATATAAATCCTTTAAAACGAGGAAGTGATACTCAACTGAAAGCAGAAGACAAGAGCTTGTGGGAATTCATGGAAATATGGAGGAGTTTGTGAAATAACCCACAAAGGAGGAGAAAAGACATGGAGTTTACGGACCCGGGTTCTGCAAATCTTGGATTCAGGTCAAATTTTTGTGAGTGGGAGACTGGGCAGCATGCACACAATGTGCTTGAATGTTAACTGTCATGTCTGGACATGCATGCTGTCTTACTGTGATATAGCACTGTTAAAATAAGAAGAGTTACTATGTGCAGGAGCCAGAATTTAGATAGATGTCTACACAACAATAGCTTGGGTTCACATGTAGTTTAACCAAAACATTAACATGAACATAAGTATATCTGAAGTCTCCTGAGTCCAAACAATGTAGGATGTTGCAATACAACTGCAAGGGAACAGTTGTTTCAGAGCTGATCTGTTCCAGATAGTTTACCACTAAGTATTCATACATGCAACAGCAATGACTTGGTTTAAAATGGGAAACTATTTATTTGTGAAATTAAATCATACATTTAAAAGTGTTCCTGCTCTGCTAAAATTTGCCATCTAAAGCTCAAAACCAAACACAGACTGACCACCACACAGCTTGAGCTCAATTCCAAGGAACCAAACAGAGTATTCCTGACAATTCTTGTTTGACCTGCAGGGAAAAAAAGAAAACCTCCCCTTTTCTCTTAAAGGAGAAGAGGAGGCACTTATAAAAAGTGAACAAAAGTATGCAGAGCAGTCTTGCAACACGGTCTACTGCTGGAAAGGGAACAGACAAGCTTTTCATTTTACAGTCCTTGCATCTGTGGGAGCCACATTAAGGATTAGATTTGAAACTTTTAAATTCACTCTCAAGGCAGATATGTCTCTGAGCACTATTGTTGTGGCCATCCTGGTTTTCCTGACCATACATGAAGGTGAGTCCATCTGTCAAATGCATGTTTGTATCCATGTCAGTGTTTATCTTGTGTAAAGATATCGACTTGCTGACTTTAACTTCCAAAACCTCAGATAGCGCTGTGGGAGATAAAATGGTGAATCTGCGCTGTCATTGCATTACCAAGGAAAGGAAGCCCATTGGCCGTCACATATTGGTATTGGAGGTGCATCCTGCGAGCTCTCACTGTGCAGAAACTCAAATCATGTGAGTCATTCAGGAAAAGTTGTTCTACGCACACTGGTAGTATTTTTATATAGAAAGTAAAAGTCCTGTCAATGTACTTTAGTTTTTGATGTCTTGCTTCTCTCTTTGGTCCCACAGAGCAACTCTTAAGAAAGGCAAGCGAAAGGTTTGCCTGGATCCCAATGCTCCATGGGTCATAAGAGTTATGCAGAACAGGCGTGCAAAGTAAGTGAGCTCTCTCTGAACAGAAACAATAGTCTTCTGAAGTGTTTATACCACTGGCAAAAAGTCAGGTTTTTGATTTTAAAAAAGTAGACCATGACAAATCAATTCAAATAAATCTTCCATCTTGAATGTGATATTTATTGCATAGTTTAATTGGAAAACAATTTCATTAACTCGATTCGGTAAGTTAAATACATCATACTTAATTAAATATATGCATCATAATTATATATATATATATATATATATATATATATATATATATATATATATATGATTTTCCACTTACAGATGAAATTATGACATTTAAGAATAGGATAATGCATTATATCCAAGAAGTGAAAACATTTTCAAAGCAGGAATGCGGGATTGATGAAAAATAAGTTTAATGCCTGCTGAAACTTTGTTCTCATCAAAAGGTATTTTTAATCTGCCAAACAAGCCTAATCAAAACACAAATTGTAATTCATTGACTGTAAGTTTAGGGAACCTTTACAGAGTCTACTAACACCGGCAAGTAAAAGTGATTCCTACCAAAGAAGACTGAAAAAAATTATTTATTTGAAACTGACTCAATAGTATGTAGGATGCACAATTATGTAACCACATCATTACAGCTTTTACTTTTAGTGGTGTTTCCTGGATTAAGATTTCCTAGTTTTCACAGGAACTGTACAGGATGCATGTTAAACAAGAGGGGACAAATATCTGAAATGGTTTATTGTGAGCCCATGATATTCCTTCTTTTTTTTTTTTCTTCTTTTTTTTCCATCACAGAAACACGGACTTTAACAGGAATGTGTAAAGTTTTGAGAGACACAGTTTGAAAACAGAGTTGTTGTCTTAAGCAATCATTAAACAGGACTGGGGGGATAATAAGCTTTTGAACCTCTCGTATGAGAAACATGCTACAACAGAACAGTTTTATGCCGCCTTAGTCTTAGCTGGATTTCAGCCCCAGTTTTTTATGAGTTACCTATCCATGCTTAGTCACAGATTTGAGAAGCGTATGATAACAGAGAAAATGTTGTTTGTAACCTTAACATTTCCGGTAAGTTGCAATCACTCCTAGGTGAATAAAGCTTGAGCCACATTCCTACATAATTATCATTACAAATGATTTGTCATGATATGTGTGTCACATGGATATTTTTTGAGGGAACAGTACTTATAAAATATAATAATTTCTTTCCTTACAGGCAGAAAGTCCAAGAACAAACCGCCAAAGCATAGATTTTCATCATGGAAGCTTCAAATGTAAACAGCAACAACACTTGCTGACTGAAGTGAGAAATATTCTGCAAGAACTGACAGGCAAGAGAATGGATACCAAGAAAAGAAAATATTTTCTAGGAAAATATTACATGTTATTAACAGTGTCTTGTAACTTTGTAACTGTTACAAGAAGGTCCTGGGTTCAATTCCCATCCTTGAGTTTGCATGTTCTCCCTGTGCATGTGTGGGTTCTCTCCGGGTACTCCGGCTTCCTCCCACAGGCCAAAAACATGCCTGTCAGGTTAATTGGCTCTCTAAATTCTCCTTAGGTGTGAGTGTGTGTGTGTGCATGGTTGTTTGTCCTGTCTCTCTCTGTGTTGACTGGCGACCTGTCCAGGGTTTACCCAGCCCAAAACATCCGCTGGAGATAGGCGCCAGCAGCCCTCCCAAACTCACTAGGGACAAGGGTGTACAGCAGATGGATCGATAGGAATAACTTTGCTTTTGGTCAAACAGCGCCATATGATGGCAAAACTTGGGCACTACAAGGAATTTGGATTATTTTAAGCAAAACGCTCTCTGCTTCACAGTTCTTCAGCGAGCCTAAGGTGTCGCTGCTAATGCTGACATAGGTTTCTCTGCTCTAGGAGGGTAAATATAAGCAAAGTGCATGTTTTCAGTCCAAAATGTAGTATGCTTCTGCAAAAACTAACGTTTTGCTTTGAAATAGGAACTAATACATTTTATTAAAAAGGAAATAAAGTATACATTTCTTATTGCATTTACTTTCATATGACTGGTTGGCGTTATAAAACCAATCCACCCATCGTCTTCCATTTATCCCCGACTGGTACACTGGGTCACCTTTCCGCAGCCATCTACTCCTGAGGGATCCCATGGTTTTTCTAAGTCAAAGAAGACACCAAATATTTACACTGAATCAAAAAAATTCCTGTTTTTATGTGAATTTTGATCAAAAACATTTATATTAAACTAACTTTCCATCGACCTAAACAGTTAATAAAATATTGCGACAAAAACATGGTTTTTAATCCTAAATGTGAAATGTAGCCAACACTTACAACGTAATCAACCGCCAGTGTAACAGTAGAGAAAATTTTTTTCTGCCACTCATTCAGAAAATCATTCTTACATATCCAGTAACAAAAATCTGTCTGTAGTAAATATAGGTAACTTTAACAGTTTTCGTGACACTTCCAATTAAATAGGAGAATAAATTAAACATCCCACTGTTCCTTTCAGTGCAGCTCAGCTCGGGTTTACTTACCGAGCTGCAGATTAAGAGTAAATATATCTTTATTATTCCCATGTGCAGAAGTATGGAGAGCCATTTCTAAATTATTTATTTAACTAATTTTTTATGTATTTTACTCATTTTCTTCATTTATTGATTTATTTTACTCATTTTTTTATTTATTTCACCATTTATTTATTTATTTATTTTAGGCTGAAATGGCTCTCCATACTGAAGGGCACTTGGAATGAGGAAGTCAAACAAGAGTTCATAAGCAGAAGAAACAAAGCGCCACTCTGCCCCCTACTGGTCACACCAAATATAACCGAGTGCGTCATTTTCTTTTTCTCCCCTCACTCAGGCTGCAATTTACCATTTCCATAAGTATTCAAACAATTCTTTCAAACAAATGACATTTTCAAAAAAGAAAACAATAGACACACAATGTGATTATATTTTTCGAGATCACGTTCAAACAATGTAATCACATTTTTATAAACACAGACAATATATGTATGTCTATTGTCTGTGTTCATACTCATGTTTTTGTTGTTGTTGGTGGTGGTGCGGAGCTTTTTTTGTTTGTTTGTTTTGTTTTTTGTGCTTTTTTATTTGTTTGTTTGGTTGTTGTTTTTTTCATTTATTTTTTTCTTTCTTTTGTTTTGTTTTGTTTTGTTTGTTTTGGCTGCCCCGGAAGATTATAGAATTTCTTAAATTTTGCGTCAAAGAATCAAAACTCAGGTATGTTTTTGATGAGGGAAAATCATTATGGCCCTCAAAAAGTCGATTTTTCATAATACCCTTTAATTTCTCTGCTGCAGTGATTTTGTTGTCTTACAATTATTCTTAACATAAAATTGAAATCAAACCAGTTTTTAATTGAAACTTGGGCTTGTGTCTTGATATATTTTGTAGTTTAAAATAAAATTTAACTACAAACAGCCTTGCTTGCTTTTTATTTTTTTATTTGTTGATGGGGGGAAAAAAACATTGTCTTTCTAAATCGACCTTATGTGCGTCGTGCATTGTTGTTTTTCGTGTGTGTCTCTTTTGATGGACTGGATGTACTCTGGCGTGTGTTCAATGACTGCTGGAGATAGGAACCAGTTCCCCCTGCTAACTTGCAACTGATGCATCAAAACATCCTTACATGACAAACAGATGGACTGGCAAAGGTCAACATGCATAAAAGAACCGTCTCCGACTACAGCCGTCTTGCCTTGAAATTGCGCGTTCGCTCGTGTGCGTGCGTGCGTGGAGTGGATGAGGGAGAAGGGAAGGGGAGGTCGTAAAGGTAAACGCCCACTTTTTGGAAGCGGAAGATGGAGATCTGTGTTCGCCTGCTGCCGTAAACTGGAAGCCTATTTGGTTTGAGCTCCATATTTCGGTGGCACATCTGCAGTCATGATAGGCTGCAGTGAACTGCTGCAGCGGCGGCGGCTGTGAGGAGAGTCTCCCCCCGTCATGCAGACATGGAGCGCTCGGTAAACAGCTGTTGGGAACATCGAGCCGACATGTGTTGATCCGTCGAACTATGGCGAACTGTTGAAAGGTGAGGTATTCAATTTTTCATTATTTGTAGCTAACTGTAGTTGCGCAATAACTAGCGGTTTCTTTTCGTGCTAACTACCCGTCATTGTTTTTATTTTATTGATGGAACTATCAAACTTTAAAGAAAACAGGATCTGGATGTTCGTTCTCAAGTAAACATGGAGAATATAGAGCTTGCACTACTGTTTCCTCTCTGAAGTAACACAGTGATGGTATAACCTTACTAATCAAGTACGTTTGTTATTATTGTTTGCCCAAGTGGTTTCCTGTTGCTTTAATTGCGTGTGCCCCTGTCTCCAGGTGTCTCTGCTGCCATGGAGGTGGGTAGTCTCCCCGTGGAGCTCTGGAGGGTTATCTTGGCTTACCTCCCCCTCCCTGACTTGGGCCGCTGCTGCCAGGTGTGCCGTGCCTGGAGGGAGCTCATCTTCTCACTTGATAACACCCGCTGGAGGCAGCTCTGCCTGGGCTGTCCCGAGTGCCGGCATCCCAACTGGCCCAGTCAGCCCCACCTGGAGCCCCCGTCCTGGAGGGAGGCCCTGAAACAGCACGCTCTCGCCACCCGCACCTGGACCAGAAATGGACAGGAGCTCCAGTCTTCTGCCTGCCTGCTCTTTTTCCGCAGACGAAAGGATCGCAGGGTTTGGCATGTGGGCCCCGGGTGTGAGTTTGAGACCCTGCGAGGGGCTCTTGGTGTGGTGGGGCCATACGACCGTGTGGTCCTCCATCCAGGGGTGTATGAAGAGCAGGCGGAAGTGGCACTGAAAGTGCCTGTGGAGCTGGTCGGTGTGGGGCGACTGGGTGAAGTGGCCCTCCTGGTTTGCATTGAGCAGCAGTGCCCGACTGCCAGGCTGTGTAACCTGGTGTTTATGCCACCCTGGTTCTCCACTGTTGTCTACAAGGTGTTGTCACACAGCTTGTCACACAGCGTCTTAAGAAAGTATTCACACCACTTAAAATTTTTCACAGTTTGTAACTTTGCAGCCACAAACTTTTCTGTTTCTTTGGGATTCCATTTGATAGAGGAACGTAAAGTTATGCACGATTGTGAAGTGAAAGGAAAAGGATACATGGCTTTATATTGTTTTCTTTATAAAAATAATTGTTCCATTCATAGATATTAACTCCTTTTAGATGCATACGTATGCTATTAAATAAACTTCACTTCAATCAGTTACCTTCAGAAGTCACCAAATAGTAAATGGTCCACTGGTGTATAATTTAATCTTAGCAGAAATCCAGCTGTTCCTTGAAAACCTGAGATATGTTATTGGAGAACATTGTGGAGGAGCTGCAGATGTGCACATCTTATGGAAAGTCGTTGACAGGACAAGTGTGCTCTACTCTACTCTGCAGATCTTTGCCTTAATGGAAATGTGGGAAGAGGAAAGCCACTAGAAAATCTGTTCAAAATTGTCAATGTTGGAGACACGGCAGACATGGATAAAGGTGGTTAAATGAGACCAAATTTGAACTTTTTGGTGTTTATGAAAAATGCTGTATGTTGTGGAAAATTAATGCTGCGCTCAAGTTACCTTCGTAAGTCGGATCTCGGAGTCGAGTTTGACTTCAGATCGAGTTAAGAGTTGGAATTTCAGAGTTGCTCCCAAGTGGTGAATCTGACTTCAGAGAACGTTTCATTTGATGTTTCTGACTGGTAAGTCAAAATTACCCAGTTCTGCTAGTAACTGGAACGCAGCATTAAACTGCACAAAATCTGAACACATAATCTCAAAAGAGGACATGATATGGCGTGGTGGCGGCATCAAGCTGTGGCAAAACCATTTTTTTTTAGCTGTGACATGGTTGCATGAAAGAATTGGTGGGAAGGTAGGTGGAGGGCAATACAGGGCAGTTCTGAAGGGAAACTTGTTAGAGGCTGCAAAACACTTGAGATGTGGACAGATGTTCATCTTCCAGCAGGACAGTGATCTTAAACATAGAGCCAGAACTGCAATGATAAAGTTTATATAAATGTGTATTTATGTCCTAGAATGTCTCAGGTCAGAGCAATCCAATCGAGAATATGTGGCAAGACTTGAAAATTGGGAGTGAGCACAATTGATTGCATCACTTTTTCTTTTTTTAGACATTTATCTGTAAATAAAAAATAGAAAATAATTGAACATTTTCCTTTCACTACACAATTGTAGTGTGGATTATTTTTGCAAGTACCTGCAACATTAAGAATCTTCACAATTATACTTTTGTCTGTCTTGCTGAGTGTCCCTTATTCTAGCCAATTTGTGTCCTTGTCCTTCTCTAGACATCATGGGGTCATGTCCAACTCGATAACTGCAATTTTGAGGGAGCCCAGCTGCAAATCCGTGGCCCCGGGACGTGCCAGGCTCGATTTTGCTCTTTCTCCCAGGGCAGCTCTGCCCACTTGCTGGGTGTTGTCCTCAGTTTGTTGGACAGCTGTGATTTCTCTGGAAGTGACACGGCTTCTGTGACTGTGGAGGGTCCTCCGGCATCAGAAAGGAACTGGGCTTGCAAGCACTTGGCCGCTCTGGCTAGGTCATTCCCGTCTCAGTCCAGCAGCACTCCCAGAGGTGACGAAGGCAGCTCCAACGATAAGCCTGACCCTCCTGGTGGTAATTTACAAAAGGAGAACATAAGCATGGAGGACTGGAAGAGACGGACCGGTGGAGATGCAGTGTGTCGGGGCACGGTTATTGAAGATCCCTGGAGTGACGGCGAGCACAGCGATGGAGAGGAGGAGAACCAGGAAGGAACTAACACCAACAAGAAGCTCTTTACGCTGGATTACAAAATCCTTTATGACCACCATGGGCTATCCCATTTACTGAAGCCTCGGGCGGATGGCTCTCTGCCTCTTGCCTCCTCACCCAACCCTCCATCTGTGACCCCTGAACCTCTCACCCTGCAGCAGGAGCTAGACAGGGACCCCGAGGCTCAGATGCTGGCATCATCAATCCTCGGCTGCATCCTGAGGCGCTGCCTGTTTAGGGACGGGAAGGGGGGTGTACATCTGTCAAACTATGGGCAAGCTCGACTAGAGGAAAACTTATTCCGCAGCCTGAACTACGCCGTCCGGTGCATCCAGCATTCCACAGTAAATAAAACCTTGTTCTTTCCTCTAATAAATCTGTAAAATGCAGTGGCTCTAAAAAAAAAAAAAAACTTACACGTTCGTGTTACAATGCCAGAGTTTTTCTGATGTAAAGAAATTATAAAAAATAACATCAAATGTTTATTATGTGCGATGTCAACTGAAAAAATATATATTTATATATATATATATATATTTTGGGTGGGGATGTAGAAAAGGTGCAATAACCTTTAATAATCTTTGCACAATAACATTGGAAACTGATCAGTGAGTGCCAGCCACCATTTGAAGGCACAGTAGTCTGGTTGCATAACTGTTCAAGCCCTTAATTTAATACTTTCTGATTCAATTTCCTCTTTTAGTCTTATGAAGCTCACATCATGTATATTGGTTCTGTTTAATCTAAGTTAAAGATCAACTACCCTAGCTTGTTCTCCTGACTATGTCTACCTGCTTTAGCTAAAGTCATATTTTGCAGGGAAGTTACAAAGTAACAATGGGAACTTGTAGAAAAATATCTGTCAAAATGACAATCTTTAACAACCTGAAAAAATGTGGAGCAACAGCAACATTAGAAATGTGAATACTTCTCAAAAATCTTTATAAAGATAATAACCATATGTATTCTTTGTGTAAATGAAGCCAGGTGTTGGGGATAAATGAAGCATTTTGTTCCCAATAACATCCCCACCTGCCAGATTTGAGCCATATGGGGAAGTTTATGTGAGAGGCTTTATTAGAGTCTAAAGGGCCAAAACCTTTTAAGTATTTGGGCAGCATTTAAAAAAAAAAAGTTTTCCATAAAAAACCACACTGAGTATAAACACCCAATTCCCAATGTGAAGCACTAGTATTTGGAAGTTATGACCAATAACTTCCAAATACTGGGTCAATAAATATTGGGTCAAGAAATACTAGTATTTCTTGACCCAATACCAATTTTGTAAATACCAATACTCATCTCCATGAGTTTGTGCACTTTTATGCATCTAAATCTGTATAAAAGTGACTTCCATGATGGGAAAATTTAAGATTTGGTCTAACCAGGGTCGAAGACTAAATCTGAGAGAAATATGTGGGGGAGTCACCAGAAGAGGGCAAGAAGAAGAGATTTCCTCACAAACTTCTAGATCTGGAGAACTTTTTCATGTCAAAGTGGGAAAATGTTGCTAAATGGAGATGCAGAGTGCTCATGGTGAAAATATTAAATCACAAGTTGGTTCAGCAAGGTGAAGTTTTAGATCATAAAACCAAAGCATTTTACCAAATGTGTGTACAATATTGGGAGCCACTATATTTCTTTACACATTCAGATTTCACAAGTTATTTCCAGAAACATATCAAGTTAAGGCACTTGTATCATTAGTAATTTAGGTTGGGTTTCCTTCTCAGGCTGTTACTTGAGCTGCCGCTTTGCTCTCTCTTTCCTTAGATTGTGATGCTAAGAAACGAGGTGTGCGAGTGCCGTGCTTCAGGTGTGTTTCTGCGCCTATCTGCTCAGGGCCTCATCGCAGAAAACAACATCCACTCGAATGGGGAGGCCGGGCTGGACATCCGAAAGGGAGCTAACCCCATCATCCTGGTAAATCTGACACCACCTTCTATTAAAGTTAAACTTTTTATTGGCAGAAACACTTGCCAATTGAAAAGGAGTCTCCCTGGTGTCAGGTCCTTTATTTATAAGTACTGAATTTGCACTAAATTAAATTGACATTGCTGGCAAAAACTGAGCTTCTGAATTTAAGACTGAAATTCCGTCTTTCCTTCCACAGTGCAATAAGATACACAGCGGTTTGCGTTCTGGTGTTGTTGTTCTTGGCAATGGGAAAGGTTCAGTTCGGAGCAACCTGATCTATAACAACAAAGAAGCTGGTGTGTACATTCTCTTTAGTGGGAATCCAGTGGTGAGGTAAGTCAGACTCTATAAACATTACCCAGAATTGTTTGGATCTTATTCCCAATGTTTGGATATGGTTGTGTTTAATTACTAGCCGTCTCTTGCATCCTGATTTCTTCACTCTGGATTCTCCCTCACCCCCCCCCCCCTCATGTGTTTTCATTCATCTTCAGTCATGAAAAAAAGATTTACACTACCACTTTTTTAGGAAGGTAATTTTCAAAGAGTTATTAACACTACTGGATTATTTGACTCTGCACACATGGAGTTGAAATCCCATTTGAATACCATTTTAACTTTAAGAAGACATTTTGCAGCTGTAACTGCTTCAGCTCATCTTGGAAGTTTGTCTGCAATATCTAGGAGTCTGTTTATAGAAATGTTTAACATTCTTTCCGGAGAGCATTTGTGAGGTCTAACACTGATGTTGGACAAGAAGACCTGGCTCACAAAAATCTATGCTCAGATTCCCTGTCAGATAAAGGTCAGAGCTTTGTGCAGATCAGTCATGGTTTTCCACACAATACTCACAGATTTGTGTCCTTTTGGGCCTTGTTTTGAGCACTGGAGTCATTCCAGAGCAGCACTCTGAGAGTTAGGAACCTAAAATTGTTCATCAGTACTTAATAAAATATTAACAATTATACTAATCATTAGTTCGCAATTGATGTTGGCACCATTTTTACCTGTTAAGTCTGTCACTATTATTTAATATAAGTTGTCTTATAATGAAACATTTCTGACATGATGTTCAGACTTGGGTGGAAAATACAGTTTCCAGGGATTGGCAACACAGTCTCTGGAAAAACATTCACCCTCGCTACTCCCATATGATTTAGGAAGGAAAGTAGCAGCTAGATGCAGTTAATTAAACCACCAACTAACAATATACGAGTGGGACTGCTTCTATTAGCACACAAATTTTAGCAGTTTGCTAGACTGAAAGATTCATGTGTGTTTCAACACAGTGCCAAGAAGTACAGACATCTGCAGTTACCTTGCAAAAGCAATTGCAAGGCTGTGTCTGTAACCACAAGATTTCTGAAATAATGTTTTTTCAACAAGTAAAATCAAAGTCAAGACGTTCAGCTACAACAATACATGGTGCCATTTGTGGCAAAGCAAAACTTTGCACAAACACCTCATGCAAACTGTCAAACATGGTGATGGAGGGGTGTGATTTGCGCTTATTTTGTATGTAAAATATTGGGGCACTATGAGGTTTGCAAGATCCAAAGCACAGCAGCATATCTAAAACTGAATAGCTGAAAAATAAAAGAATCACGTTTTTTCATCTCCAGTGGAACCCTGAGACAGATTTGTCTACATCAATGCCAGGAAGCCCCAACAAACTGGAACAGTTTTGTTAAAAGTGGGACAAAATTCTCCCATTGATAAAGTCAGTATGGCAAAATACTACTTGGGCTTATTGTTGCTAAAGTTGCTGCAATACATTAAATCATGCGATGTACTTACTTTCTACCTTTACTGTAGCTTGATAACCAAGTCTACTTTAAAATTTGGAAAGCTGCAGCATAAGGGACTGTTTGTTCTGTCTGCTTGTAGTGGAAATTGCATCTTCCAAGGCCAGGCAGCAGGAATTGCTATAAACGAGAATGGCAGAGGGCTGATAACAGGTTTGTGTGGGTGGTTTCGCACCATTTCTTTATTCACATCAGCAAAACTATACTCTTTATGCAGATATTATGTTGTTCCTTTCCAGAAAATGTGATAAGAGAGAACCAGTGGGGAGGAGTGGACATCCGCAGAGGAGGTGACCCAATACTGAAGAACAACTACATCTGTTACGGCTACTCCGACGGCGTGGTGGTGGGAGAGAGGGGGCGTGGACTTATTGAGGGAAATCATGTATACTGTATGTCCTTTCTGTCTGGAAATGGTTGCATTATATGGAGAGCATATCATTTTAGACCAGTTTGCTTTCAAACACTTTCCTCCCTTGATTTGTTTAGGTAATAAAGGCTGTGGCGTGTGGGTTATGTCATCCAGCCTCCCCCAGCTTTTGGGGAACTACATCATTCATAACTGTATGTACGGACTGGCGGTGTTCTGCAGGAAGGATCCAGACAACATTGAAGCCAGGGAGGGGAACTGGCCTGGACAGGAAGGGATGGGTGGAGACGTGGCCAATGGGGAAAGGAGAGGAGTTGTTGAAGGAGAGGCCAGGGAAGGGCAGGAGAACTTCAATGAAGAGGGGGAACTGTTCGCTTGGGAGAGTGATCTGGACAGCGAGGATGAGCGGCACTCTGCTCGGCGCTCTATCAGCGTGGCGCTAATGGAGGGCAACTGTGTGAGCTACAATGGAGGTACTAAGCTATGTCACATAAACATGTGTACAGTGCATGGCTAAAGTAGAAATGACCTCTGAACTGTTCTACGTTTTGGCAGGTTACAAACACAACCGTGAATGTATTTTATTGGGATTTCATGTAATAGCCAACACAAGGTAGAGCAGAACTATGAAGACACTAAAGGTTTTCCTCATTCTTTTTCACAAAATAACTCGAGCTCTGTCAGTTTTGATTGAGGTTGTCTGTGAAGACAAATTTTAAAGTCTTGGCAGAAACTCTCAATTTCATTTACGTCTGGACTTTGACAGGGTCATTCTAACACATCTGTGTTGATCTAAACTATTCTGGCTGTGTATGTGGAGTCTAGGTCCAGTTGGGCTCCTGTGTGACAGGCTTTCTTCCAAGATTGACCCTTATTTAGCTCCAACTTACTAATAACTGACAAGCTTCACTGTCTCTGTTGCAGAAAAGCATCCACAAAATATGAAGATGCCACCACCGTGTTTCAAAATAGGGATGGTGTGTTTAGGTTTATGCATAATGTAGTTTTCTGCCACACAGTATTTTGCATGTAGCCTAACCAGAAGGTTAATCTCCTATGGGTTTAGGAGAATGGTTCAAAACCATGTATCATTTAGTTTTTTTCTTCACAGTTATGCACAACTTTGTGTTGGTCAATCACATAAAAACTAATGAACTCTGTTGAACGGTGTCAAAATGTGGGGGAAAAAACTTCAGGTTGTGAATGTTTTCTTACAGCACAGTAAAGTCAGCCTTCATAATTCTCCCGTTTCTTCCTTTCTGTAGCGGTTGGCCTGTACGTGAAGAGCAGCGAGGCCCTGAATGTTTTTGCAAACCTTATGAACAGAAACTGCGGCCCGGGCGTTGCTGTGCTGCAGAGCACTCAGCTGACCCGGCTCGTTACTAACTGTATTGTCGAAAATGGCCGGGGTGGCGTTACAGTGGAGAAGGACTGCAGAGTGGAGCTCCGTGGTAACGGCATCTATGAAAACAGTGGCCACGGTGTCAGGTTTAGTGGCAGCGGGCAGATAGTGGAGAATGATGTGGTCAGTAACTGTGGATACGGCATCCAGGTTTCTGCAAGCACAGATATTAAGGTGAGTTGATCTCTTAGACTTATTTCAGAAACACTTTGTCTTTGTGCATATTAATGTGAGTTTTATGATTCTCGTCTCCAGGTGGTTCGTAATCGTGTCCAACCAGCACAGGGTTGTGGTATTGCTCTGCTGGGCCCAGTAAAAGGTGTCGTCCATGACAACATCCTGTTTCAGGGTCATCCAGAAAACAAGAAGCCACTCCTACACACAGATGCTGGAAATGAAACCTGCGTGTTGCGTAACAACAGTATTCTAAGGTTTAATAACAGGTAACCAAGCAACTGAGTGAAAAGTAACTGTCTTGTTTTTTTTTCTTTCTTTTCTTCCCATGTAAAAAATAAGCAGCTCCTGCAGGTCTTTCATAACAGTGATATTTCAGTTGCAGAATTTCTTAGAAATTGAACACTATCATACAGGTTTTCTTGTAATTTATACCCGCAGCTCTTCCTCTGTTCCTGAGAGATGGTATATGGTAGCTGCCTTAAAATGTCAGGATATTACTGTAAAGCTAAAGAGACAAAGAAAAATGCAATTTGCAGGTGAAATTTAGTCAGTGTAATAATGTCCCATTTCAAACAAAAGACTCAAGTTTTTTTTTAAATTAAAGTAATTTCTTGAAAGGCTGTTCATAGGATAACCTCTAAAAAAAAAAACCTTCCCGTTTTTATAATGTAGTTGTTGATCCATTAATAACTGTTTGGGTTTGAACAGTAGTTGTTTTTTTGTTTGTTTTTTTTAAGCTTGTAAAATGCTAAAATCTAAAGGCTTTTACCCAAACTATTTGGCAGTCAGAAGTGCCTTGCTAAAGTATATATGTCATATATATAAATATATCTGTAATATTTTATTATGTTTTATTTTAATGATCAACCTTTTGGGTTTAGGTAATGAAGTTAAAAGATGTAAACAATATTCACATGTGAAATTTATTGAAAAGATAATTCCAAACAAAGATCACACCAAACAAATACTATGTAGTTACTGCTGTGGGAATAATTTTATTGACCAGGAAAAGCTAAGCTGGTCTGAGTTCATCATTGAGCTAACTGCAGGGCAATCCTAAAGCAAAACTTTAAATTTGAGGAAGCAAATATTCTGAGATTGGGGCAGATCTTTGCCATCCAGCAAGATGACATGCAACCAGTGATGCAACAGAGTAGTTAGAGCACTTTAGCTCTCCATTCAGCCTGAGCTTGGGCTGTTTTATAAGAAAGGTAAGGACAAAAACATTAGTCTCTTGTAGAGAAACGCCTCCAAAGACTTCCAGCAGTATGGTGACTTCAACAAAGTATTGACTGAAAGGGTCTGAATAAAAATGCATGCCACACTTTTGAATATAGAATTTCCCTTCCACTTCACAAGTATTTACTGCATTATGTTCTGTCACATAGGTCCAAATAAAACAATGACGTTTGTGGTTGTACTTTAAGAAAAATGTGACTAAGGAGTATGAATATTTAAATCATTTGCTCAACAAGGACAGCTAAAATAGACAGAGATGTTTCTCAAATAGCAAAGGTCTAAAAGCAGGAACTAAGATCATCTTCATAAGCACCCTGTAATTTATGCTTCTTATTTCTCTCTCTGTACTTTTCAGTGGTGCATCTTCCCCACCATGGGTTCTAGAAAACCCGCCTCCTCGCCCTTTGGCCAGCTCCCCTACTGGCCTCTCATCCTCCCAGTATCCTTCACGGCTTGGGATTTCCATGACAACCAGAGTTGGCGCTGCCGTAGAGAGCGGATGTCACAGCGGCAGCATGTTCTGCTCCATCCTGTGAATTAACGGCCAAGCATGCACAAACCGAAGTATGTTGGTGTGGGGTCCCAAACTGTCCAGTTTTTACCTACTGATGATCCAAAAGAAGTACTGACTTTTTCTTCCAGGATTCATGACATTACCTTTGGCTCTGTACGTAAATGTGATGCGTTTTTTTTTATATAAATTAGGAAAAATTTTACAATAAAATGCCTGCACACAAGGTTTTTGAACAAAAACTCATCCAAATATCAACTGCATGTTTGAAGCTTTATCTTAATGTTCTTTTACACCGCAGACTTGTTTTTATCATTCTGCTTTTAATAGTTTCTGTTTAGGACGTGTGCTTTAATAAATCCCAGCAGCAGGGGAAGGCTTTAGGAATTATAGCTCATCTGGTACAAATCTGTGCCTTTTTTGATATTTAAAGAAAAAATCTACAATTGTAGCAGGGGGGTTTGGAAAAATTATCGTATGAAGTGAATATGCAACAACAAGCCAAAATTAAGCTTCTGCCTCTTGCACAGTGTGTTGTTTTAAGGTGAGTTTCTGGCTTCAATGTCCAACACTCATTTTCTTGCAACCAAACAGAAAGAGAGTGTGCAATATGGCTACGTTCACACTGCAGCCTGAAGTGACCCAATTCCGATTTTTTTTTTTTGCCTTAATGTGACCTAGATCTGATCTTTTCGTGATAGTCTGAACAACACAGACTGAAATTTCTTGAAAGCAACCCAAAAAAATCTGAGTTAGGTCATTTCAGGCTACAGTGTGAATGTAGTCTATGTGAAGTCTACAAATGTGCCTATAGAGTAAAGCTGGATGTTAGGTCATCTAGAGGTTGTTTACAGCTTGTTAGATTTTACATCCTCAACAGTAATCATAAAAAAGAAGATGTGCAACTCAAAGTTTCCTCTTTTGTCTACAAAACATAATAAACGGCTCTTCTTTGTGATGTTTCCATTTCCTGCAGTCCTTCCATCTTTTCTTATACTTTAATGCATCTTCTTCCGTTTCCGCCGCTCGACAAACTTATCGTACTGGACCAGTGGTAGGACAACGGTGGCCTGCCTGTGTTCGTCACTCAGTGCGGCTTCGTCCCATTTGGCTCTGGCTGGTTTAATCAAAGACAGTCCCATTGACTTTGCGATCTCGGTCATCCTGTACATAACATGTGGGTCAGAGATTTTATTTAGGAAAAAGAAACGTAGTAATACTGTCATAGTTTAAATAACACTTTTTAAAATCTAATGATTATGTTGACTCAGATAAACGGTGATGCTAAATGCATTGGCCCCTTAATGATTTCTTCTATTCTTGCTGTTTTGTCAAAGTTAAATCACTTGGATCGCCAGACAAAGTCAACCAGAGTAAATAGTTTTCTCCTTAACAATCAGCACTTTCTATCAAAAACAAATTTGCCTTTTGTTAGAAAGTAAATGCCCCCTAATGATTGTTCCACCTATGGCCACAAAAACTTTCTAACCCTTTTCAATTACTTTAAATCCACATAGGATAGCTTCTCTTCCCTTAGTAAATGAAATCATTTGAAAATGTACTCTAGTACTTCTATGTACTCTAATAGTGCTGATAACAAAATCTGTTCGATCTGAAACATTTGAGTGTGGCAAAAAAAAAAAAAAAAAACCCCAGTAAAATCTGGGTGTAAATACTTTTTTCCAGCACTGAAAATTAAATCAACTCACTTGGCTTCAGTGATTCCCAGATCACGATGCAGTAACGAGAGGTCTGCAGTCATGTGTCCCATGTGCAGCAACAGAGCCAGACTGTACGCTGCTAATTTGGCACGCATTGATGTTGAAACTATGTTCTGCACCCTAAATACGGGGCGGGAAAAAAATAAAGATAAAAGATGTGATTGGGTTATTTATTTAAAACAAATTTTAAAGTCAGTCCAAAGTTTTTTTTTTACAGGATGAAACTTGCTGGTTGAAGAATTGGTGCAAAATGACAAGTCAAACTAACCGTCGCGTCATCATCATACCTCCCATTGTTGAAACTCTCCACAGTGAAAGTTCTGAACAGCTTGTTATGAATGATGCGAGGGCAGCCTTCATCATATCCAACTGTACACACAAAGAACAGACAGCAGAACTTTATGGCAAAGAAAGTTCTAATAACTTTCCCCTCTGACGATTCGGCACACACAAGTAAAACTTTCTGGAGAGTTTTTGTGACTCAACTGGGGGAGGAAAAGAACATGTTTTGTTTTTTTAGAGTCTGAACATTCAGTCAGAATCAGGCAGGAGGACTAGACTATCCCACGTCTGAGTCACGATAACATTTCAGCTGAGTTTTCCCAAAGTCCAGCGATTCTGCGCTAAATTGCCAAAACATCTTGACACCAGCTTAAGATCTTGAGTGCTTTGCTAAATGTTTACTTCTACAACTTCCTATTTTTCCTGTTTCCCCTACAACTTTGTTGAAAATGTTCCAGGATCAGTCACAGAAAAACATCCCAGAAGATAATGCTGCCATTACCATATTTTTACCTTAAATGTAAATGTTATATTTCCTTTGCTGGAAAAACATTTTTGAAAGGAGTGACAAGAAATATTAAATGTTTTCACGCTATTTAAATTTTTTTTTTAGATGTATCTTGTCAGCTGTTCCAGCTACCACATATCAGACAAGTGGCTGAATGGTAATTCTCTTTTGTTTACTTATTACTTATTCCTAAAATGATTTTACACTTTGTTAATAAATGGACAGTTTAGATTGTCATTTTCATCTAAAATATTTGTCATTTTTATTAGCTTCTTTGGAAGCTCACACTTGTTGACATTTTTGTAAATAAATATTTTTTTTTTCTTTAAACACCCATCTCTCTGGCAGGTCTGTACAATCCCTAATATACCTGTATAAATGCCTTTTTACACGCCTGCTTCACGAAGAGCAGCTAAGAAGAGTAAAAGCAGATGTACTCACACTTGCGTGGGATGCTCTTCTGACTCGCCAGTTTGAGGAGCAGAGAGAGATAAAAGGTGCAGCGTGCTATTCTCTCTCTGGCTTCACCTTCAGACGGCATGCTCTCCAAGTGCTTCACCACACTCAGTGACCTTCAATCAAGAAGTAAAAATAAAATTCATCATGCAGGAAAACACTCTGCTAAAGAAATTTCAGGAATTGTGAACAACTTGTTGCCCTACCCTCCTTCATCTCTCATCTTCTGCAGCTCCTCCTTGGTGAGTGCTGCCATCTTGGATCCAGGCTGCTCCAAAGCAGCGAGCTCGACTGGACTCAGGACTGAGGAGGTCAGTTAAAGATGGAGAAAACCTCCACTGTAACTCCAGACATAAAACTATGGTTATATTCCTAAGGATTTACACACAATGATGGGAAGCAAATAAAAGATACGCTCATCAAATGGGTAGACGTCTTCTCGTTTGCTTGCGTTTGGATTGCAAGGAGGCAGGTGGGATGCCAGGGTCTCTTGGGACTCTGTCTGAATCACTTCCTGTTGGAGGGCTGAGGAAAAATTTTTTTAAAAATGTATCTGGTAACATAGCCACAAGGAGAAGTAAGAGTCAAAGCTCTTTTCTCTCTTTACTCATCGTTTTAAGACAGAGGAGCAGTTAGAAACTCACCTTCCAGACCCTTCTTTTCAATAACAGAGGTGGCAGCTTTAGCCACTGCGGTCTGCAGGGCGTTGCTACCCACCTGGTTTAGCCTCCGGGAAGCCAGGGCTCGTTTCTGCTTGTTGGTGCCAAATGTCTCAATCAACAAGTCAACCTGAAGACAAAAGGAATCAGATTTAAACATGACATCTGCCTATTACGTCATTATGGTTTAATTAGGTGGGAGGAGAAAAAAAAAATTGTACTTTGTCTCTGTAGGATTGAGAAGTATCCTGAGGTTTGGTGGTTGATGTCTCCCCTGGCATTGAAGGCACAGTAATTAAGCTTTTTGGACAGTTCTCAATGATTTTCAAAGGAAATGGGAGGCACTAATGTTACAATCAGTTCCAATGTGTGTTTTTGTTTTTACCTGGGATAACAGGCTGCATGTTGAACAGCACAGCGTTATGCACCTCCATTTGCATGGTCTGTTTGTTCAGCACTCCAACATAATATCTGGGAAAACACCAGATATTATGTTTAAAGCTTTTAACCCAACTTTACTATAAAATCACTCAGAACTATGAACCAAATCTATTCTTCTTTACCCAGCTCATGATTATTCTGTGTACATCTGTTAGTGGAGAAAATACACCACAGGATATCATCTTTAAAATCGACATCTGAAGTAGAAAAACCTCCAACACAATTCGTTCTATAACAAATATAATTGTATTTACTTGCAGAGGCTGTTGCATTTCAGAGATCCCGCTCCAAAATTCTGACCAACATAGCTCAGTCTGTTTGATTCAGCAACCTCAGCAGAAGAAAAACATGATACGCATAAAAATCCAAACAGTACGACGTGGGCATGCAGAAATAAGAAACCCATCATGCACCAACATCTTCCTCACCAGTAACCGCCTGCTCTTCTTCCTCGGGTTGTTCTCATCTCTGCTCTTGTACAAGCTGAAATCGAGGCTCTCTGCATTGGTGGCGCAGCCATTGGAAAAGCGGACTGTGTGAGAGAAACATTCAGAGACCAGTTGTTAACCTCTGATACAACACATTTGAGGAGGACAGTGCATTTATTCCTGGGTCTGAAGTCAAACTGCAGCGAGCGAGCCGCAGTTTGACCACGTGCGCGCACTATTCCCTAAACACTGTCTCTAAATCTCACACAAGACTAAGAGACGATGTCGTAGTTGAAATTCAGGTTCGATGACTTTATATGTTATAACGGAGATATATTCACCAATAGCTGCTTTATCGGATTCAGTCTCTTCTCCACAGCACACGAAGGAGCAGGAGGCAGCCATGACAGTTGTTGTGGGGTTTCTTCTTTTTTATTTATATAAGGCGGTGTTAAATGTGTTACTGCCACCTAGAGGCGAAGAAAGAAACACAATTTGTGTTACTATCCGGCCACCTTTTTCTTTTTGAAGGGTTAAACCGTTATTGCACTGTCAAAAAGGTCTAATGTTACGGTATGTAGAGCTGAAAACTGACACCTGAAGTTGTCTTGGAAAAAATAAGCATAAGCAACAATTTAAAACCTTAAAATAAAACTAAATCTAGATGATCTAATAATAAGGTCATAATAGGCAAACGCTATTGTTGACTGAAATATAATATTACATTGTCTTCATCCAATTTTGACTACTGAAAGAAGACTACACTGGTTTCCATTTTTCAGAGACTTCTCAAAAATAGAAATTAAAGGTATTCACTTGGTCATCTGAAGGCTCTGCATATCTAACCCAGACCAAAATTTAATCAGCAGAAACCACTGAGAAGCTGAGCTATTCAGTCCATAAAAATTTACCCAACTCCAATAAAAAAAAGGAGAGTGGAAAACATCCTGACTGTACAGAGCCGGCCTAAGGTATAATTAAACAAAGCAACTGCTTAGCGTCCTCAGATCTTCAGGGGCTCATAAATGCTTAAATTTAACACATATCTAGATTTTTAAATTTAGTTTCTTGAGAATGACAATGAGAATGAAAATGCGAATAAATTTTATTTAATGGTTTCAGCACAGCTAAATTAAAATATTTCAAATTTTTTAATATTCCAGTTTGAGATTAAAAGGAGTTGGCAAGTTTACTTTATAAAAGTGCAAATAATAATCTTCATAGTTTGACTGTTGTGTTACCATAACCACAATCTCACACTTTGTTATGTTTGTGGTTTGGTTCAGTTTGTTCACAAATATTTCTCAGTGAATAATAACCATTTATCAGTGATCGCTTTTAAGTTCAGCCAATTAAATTTGGTTTATGGAGATTATAGCCAGCTGGCTAATTTCCATCTCTCTTTACAGTCCTGATAGTGGTGGTGATGTTCTTAACAGGAAGAAGGGTTCCTAAATCACAGCCCTGTGGATGTAGATTTAGTTGTCAGCTTAGTGATATATCATGAATTCACAACAAAATCAGTTATGTGTTATTTGTAACAAACCCAAAGGTTTCCATCACATCTTCACTTTCTCTATCCTGAATCTGCGGAGGTGGCAAATAAACAGCCATCTTCCTGAAGAACCTAATCCATTTGGGGAAAATTAATAAAGTTTTGAATCGCTCTTAGTCTGACCCCTACCCTGAGGCCATTTTGCCATTGGAGTCCCGACTGGGAGTGGAACTCCAATGGCAACTAAGCTATCAGGATCATTGGGGTACTCAAACCCCTCTACCACGCTAAGGTGGCGATTCTCCAGAGGGGAGCGAGTCCCATCAAAAGTAATTTGATGGGACCCCCCATCCTGAGCAAGCACAGTGCTTGAGTGGGGAGGAAATCTCCCTTTAAAAAGGAAGAAACCTCCAGCAGAACCAGACTCAGGATGAGCAGCCATCTGCCTTGGCTGGCGAAGAACAAGAGGACAGGAAAGAGACACAAACACACAGCTGGAACCAAATGGGCTGAGAAAACACAAACCACAAAGTTAGTTGCAATATTGATAAAAGGGAAAATCCTCAAAACACAGGGAAAAAGTCCATCCATCCATCCATCCATCCAGCCATCCATCCAGCCATCCATCCATCCATCCATCCATCTATCCATCCATCCATCCAGCCAGCCAGCCAGACAGTTCGAAGTTCTGCCGGAGATGGGAGTTAAAGCTCCGACTCACAGGGGACTCCGCCAGACGTTCCCAGCAGACCCTCACTACACGTTTAGGCCTGCCAGGTCTAACCGACTTCCTCCCCCACCACCAGAGCCAACTCACCACCAGGTAGTGGTCAGTGGACAGCTCCGCACCTCTCTTCACCCAAGTGTCCAAGACATGCCGCCGCAGATCCGGTGATACGATGACAAAGTCGATCATCAAACTGTGGCCTAGGGTGTCCTGGTGCCAAGTGCACATATGGACACCCTTATGCTTGAACATGGTGTTCGTGATGGAGAATCCGTGACGAGCACAGAAGTCCAACAACAGAACACCACTTGAGTTCAGATCGGGGGGGCCGTTCCTCCCAACCACGCCCCTCCAGGTCTCACTGTCATTGCCCACGTGAGCGTTGAAGTCCCCCAGCAGAACACGGGAGTCCCCAGAAGGGCCAATCTCCAGTACCCCCTCTAAGGACTCCAAGAAGGGTGGCTAATCTGAACTGTTGTTCGGTCCGTAAACACAAACAACAGTCAGAACCCGTCCCCCCACCCGAAGGCGGAGGGAGGCTACCCTCTCGTTCACTGGGGTAAACCCAACGTACAGGCGCCAAGATAGGGGGCAACAAGTATGCCCACTCCTGCCCGGCGCCTCTCACCGTGGGCAACTCCAGAGTAGAATTTCCAGCCCCTCTCAGGGAGACTGGTTCCAGAACCAGAGCCATGCGTCAAGGTGAGACCGACTATTCCTAGCTGGAACCTCTTATGCTCACACACCAGCTCCGGCTCCTTCCCCACCAGAGAGGTGACATACCACATTCTTTTGTTTCCTGTCTGATTCACCTGCACATTCACCTACCTCTGTCTGTACTTGCTACCCTTTATTTACCGTCTTCTGGTGCAAATTTTCCATGAACTCGGAAGTCATAGAGACAAGTATGCTTCACATGGCCCCAGTTGCTACTGATGTCTAACTTTACGTAGCGGAAAGCTGCTCTTCTGTGGCTCTGTAATGACAAAATCATGTTAGCTGAATATCAAATCGGTAAAGCTAAATATGAAGTTTAATTACATGCATTCATTGTTTTGATATTGCAAAACCCAGCAAGATTTCTAATATTTCTTGAATATTTTCCATCTTCTCATTTAACAACCACAAATTTCAATGAATTTGATATTCTATGTGATAGACCAACAGAACATAACAAATAATAGTGAAGCTGATGATGTGAGGGTGGTCTTCATTAACAGATGGACAGAGCTATAAATACAGACCAGTCCTTGAAGGAAACTTGCAGAAGACTTAAAAACTGGGTGGACAGTACAGAGGATTTTAAAGGTGCTTAACTCATGAAATACATAAATAAAGAAATGATACACAAACTCCATTCTCTCCGGCTCATCAGCCGGAGAGAATGGAGACATTTAATGCACATCTGCGGATTCACACATCACATTTTTATCGTCTCATTTTCATCGTCTCAGAATCCAAAATGTCTTGTCTCTTACTTCTGACATCAGCTCTGCTGTTGTGTATTGGAAAGCTTTGACCAATGGCGTTACCGAACCTCGCTTGCGTAGCAATTCTAGCTCCATCTTACACTGGATGTGTGTTGGAAGTTCCGAGAATTAAAGGTTGACCTCCTGGAAATTAAATCTGCTCCATCAGAAGAAACATTAGTCAAGTTGTTAGTTCTTTATCTGTTCAAACAAAGATTCTTTCCCAGTCCTGGCCAACTTCTTTGCACGCAAGCAGGAAAAGACGTTTGCCAGAAGTTCTTGCACAACAACTTAACCTTTCCCTCTTTGGTGATTGCTTATTCCACATCTCTCCAATCTGAATTACTTTCTGACTTCTAGGTCAGATTGACCCTGTACATTTGACACAGTACATTTCGTTTCAGTCAAAACATATCTTAATGTGAATCAACCAACAACATGCCTTTTAGTATAATTATATTCTTCTACATCAGTAGGACAACAACCCTAAACATACAGACAGCAATACAATAGGAAGGTTTAGATGAAGCATCTCATATGATAGGTGTAGTCAAAGTCCAGACATAAATCCAAAACAGAATCTGGCAAGACTGAAAAAAAGATTACCTGGAGAAAACATTGAATCTAAAACAATCCAATTATATAAAATTATTAAAATTCTGTTACGAATGTTCAATTTAATTGTATCCATCAATCCATTTTCTTTTGCTTATCCGGGGTTTGCGAGCAGGAGTAGCAGCCTAAGTAGAGAGGTGCAGACTTCCCTCTCCCCAGTCACTTGGGATAACTCATCCCAAGTGACTGGGAATGCTTTGGGAACCCCAAAGCATTCCACTCATCCCAAGTGACTGGGAATGCTTTGGGGACCCCAAAGCATTCCCAGCCCACCCGAGCAACATAGTCCCTCCTGAGTCTTCCTCCGGGACTCCTCCCGGTGAGATATGCCCAGAATAGTTCACTGGGGAGGCTTGTACAAAGCCTGACCCAATGCCCATGCCACCTCAACTGGCTCCTCTAGACATGGAGAAGTAACAGATCTACTCTGAGTCCCTCCCGGATGACCGACCATCTTGCCCTACGTATAAAGCACACCCCAGTCAAACTGTGGAGAAAATTCATTTCGGCCGCTTGACCCTAACGTCATGACCATAGCTGAGGGTAGGAACACAGATCAACTGGTAAATCTAGAGCTTTACCTTTTGAGTCAGCTCTATCTTCATGATGACAGTCTGGTACAGTGCCTGCTTTACTGCAGACACTGCACCAATCCGCCTATTGATCACCTGCTCCATTTTTCCCTCATTTATGAACAGAATCCCACGATACTCAAACTTCTCTGACACTGGTCATACAGTAACCTAGCAGGTCACTGATCCTCATCCTAGCCGTTTCACACTCGGCTGCGAACTGCTCCAGCGAAAACTGTAGGTCACGCCCTGATGACGACAATAGGATCACATCATCTGCAAAAAGCGTAGACACAATCCTAAGGCCACCAAAACGGATACCCTCAACTCCTCGGAAGCACCTAGAGATTCTGTCCATAAAAGTTGTAAACAGAATCTGGGCATCTTTGCGGAGGCCAACTATCACCAGAAACAAGCTCGACTTACTGCCGGCAATGCAGACCAAGCTCTGACATCCATTGGGAGGGCCTAGAGTACCTCCCAAAGGGTTCCCAGAGGGACACAGTGGACTGCCTTTTCGAAGTCCACAAAGCAGATGTAGACTAGCTGCGCGAACTCCCATGCACCCTCCAGGAGCCTGTTGTGGGTGTAGAGCTGGTCCAGTATTCCACGACCTGAATGAAGACCTGAATCTGAAGTTCAACTATCCAAAAGACCCTTGTTCTCCATGAAATTTTCAAACTCTTCCATGCCCGAGTTTCCGTCCCGCAACCACCTGAGCCGCATGGTTACATAACTACAGTTTAGTTGTAGTTAGAATAAAATGCAGGCAAATGTAGTGCAGATATGCAAAATATGTATGAATGAAATGGATGTTTACACATATGAAATTTTAAACCCCTGTTTTGTACCCCAATTTTTAACAAATGATTGTTTTCTACCCACAAACATGTTTGTGGGTAGAAAACCAGACCTTTTTCCACCTCTTCCTTATGCGATCTCTCCATGGACTCTGAAGTTGTAGAGGCAGGTATACTCCATATTGCCCCAGTTGGTATTTATCTGTAGCTTTATGAAGCTAAAGGCCACTTTCTCTTGGCTCTGTAATGATAAAACAATGTATTAGTTTAATATAATACAGTAGAGCTAAGAGGGAGTTTATTAGAGGCTAAATATTTTGAGATTGCAAAGCCTTGCAAGAGCACCACCAACATTGCTTCAATGTTTTCCCATTTTGTCATACAACCACAAATGTTCATGCATTTAATTGGTATTTTAGACCAACACAAAGAAGCACATAATTGTGAAGTGGAAGGTGATGAGGGTGGTCTTCATTAGTAGATGGAAATAAATACAGATCAGTCCTGGAAGGAAACCTGCAGAAAACTTAAAGTGAAACTCACCCCCAAATCAACTTTTTTTGCTGACAAACTGTCTAAATATGTTATTTGGCATTCTATCTAAATAGATTGAATATTCTGTGCAAAAGGAAATTTTTGTGCAAATCTTTCAGCTAAGCATGATTTAGCCTAAAATCATCTCACCACCATCGTCATCGGTCAATCGGAAAAAGATTCTAGTCTAGATTTACCACTAATTGTTTTGAAAAAACATCCCTAGACCAGCCTGAAAAATCTATCAATATAGCGACAAAGTAGATACGTTTACCACAGCGCTTCTTTCGTCAGATTACAGCCCCACTCACTCCCTCCACTCAGCACTGATCCCCACACTCAACCTTGTCTCTTGGCCCCGCCCACTTTGATACTGTTTTTCAAAATTTGCCAGGGCTGAAGGGGGAAGTTACACTTTAAAAACTGGGTCAGAGGTTTACCTTCCGCCCTAAACACAGAGCCAGCAATATAATGGGAAGGTTTAGATCAACTTTCTTGTTCACAAATATGAGCTACTTTCTGTTAGCATGTTTTTCTGATAAACTCCCAATAAAATACGAGGATGTTTATATTTTTAACATGAAAACATTGAAAAGTTCAATGGCTATAAATATGTTGCAAAGCAATTATGCAAAGTAGCTAGAACAAAAAAACAACTGGGATAAACGTACCGGTAGCTCAAAAGTCTGAAGCGGCTCTCCATCCTCTTCATAGTGAAAAGTCCCCAGGTGAGTCCACTCCTGTTTGGGCTCCCTCATTCCCTGCAAAACAAAATTAGACAAATATCCTTATAAATATATCTGAAAGTTAGACTGAGTGTTGCTGTCTAATATTCAGAGACTTGTGGCTTACATAGATAGAAAACTCCTTGGGAGCACTGTCGATGTTACCAGTTGGGGACAACATTTTTGGCGGATGACCCAAAGTAACGTGACCGATTACAACTCTGTAGGGCAGGGCGATGACGAGATGTCCCTGGGAACCTTCAAATGCCCAGCACTCTCCTGGTTGTAGGCGAGTCCTCCCCTGAAGAGAAAAAGAGTTCAAAGTTTCAGTGGGATGTTAAAATAATAAACAAAAAGCCTTCTAATTATTACATCACATAGAAATACCATTCTGCATCATATTCATATTACATTATGATCATAGTTCAGTTCATACCTCAATGACAATGTCCGGGTGGATAGATGGCCGTTCTATTGTAAACCCAAACCTATTGCATCTTTGGATTTGGCCAGGATGTGTGCCTGATGGCATCCAGGATACGAGCTTTGCTCCTGTTTACAAACACACACAGAAAGTGAATTAAAACCATCTAAGCTTAAAACATTCAGTGAAATTTAAGATAGTAATGACTTACCTTGAGATTTCAAAGCAAAGTTGGGCATCATATCTGCTGGTGGAAGAAGGTAGCCCACCTTCTTCTGTAGGACACCCATCCCCTCCTTCTCTTCCTCTAATTGTCCTCGCTTATCTTTACATACTGGACCTAAATCCTAAACACAATTGAAGTTAGATGTTTTGTCATATCACTGCAGAGGACATTCATATAAGGGTTTTGATTAACAGAAAGCTTACTGCGTTTATGATGGAGGGCGAAAAAACCGGAGGTTTCATCGTCAAAGGAGCAATAATGGTGGTAAATCCTGACAAATGTGGAGAAATGAGAAGAAGGTGACAGGATTAGTGACACTGCTTTCAGACTAAAAACTCTCTACAAAACTTAGAAATATTGGTGTTTGTAGAAGAAAATCATTTACCATAAAACAAGGCGAGGAATATGGCGCTGATAAGAAAACGTTTCAGCGTGTACATCAACAGGTCCCTGTCGATGCTGCTGTTGCTGTTGTTTGTTGATGAGGTCTCTCTTCTTTCTGTGTTGTAATACTGACGGTATGTCCACTTCCTGTTCAGCCAAGGTAGAACAAACACAAATATGTAAACAGATACATAGATCCTAACATTATTGAGTTAAATTTGCAGGGTTTTTTGCAAAAGTATTTACTTCCCTTGAACATTTTCACATCTTGATTTTAATTACCCATTACTTACCCAGGAAGTCACCACTGAGAATAAGAATCTATTATTCCAGGGAGACTTGGGTTATTATTCAACGTAATCACATTGCAAACACAAACTTTGTAAAAAATTTTGAACAGCCATACTTAGTTCCACATCTCTTTTGATCTGAGTTTGCAATTTTAATGTATGTACAGTATTATTTTCCTATTCTGTAAATTAACCCTTCCCTGCACAGCCTGTTGTTTTTATTTTTCCCATCATATATTTTTAAGTTAGTTTGAATCTTCATTCAAACTAAGGTCATTCAGGTCCTTTTTCCTATAATTTACTGCTTGCTGTAAAGTGCATATAAAAAAATACTCACTCCCCCTGAATGTTTTATCATTTTACAGCTTTTTCATTAAAATTGGGCATTTTTGACATAAAAATATACTAATGATCTTATGATGTCAATGTGAAAACTAACCTATTTAAAAATAATAATCAAAAAATATTTGACCTAAAATAAATGGCTGCATAAATATTCACGCCCTTTAAAAGTGACTGACCTAATTCAAAGAAGGTCCAGTCAACATTAAATTCAAGACATGGCAAAAATATTTCTTCCCCTTTGAACTTTTTACTTCTTTTCATGTAACAACCACAAACATCTGTGTAATGTTTAGCAATTTAGCAAAAAAGAAAGAAATTTGTATTTTTTTGCCAAACAAATTTCTGTAGCAGTACATTTTTCAGCCCTCAAATTCTGATGCCTCTAAATTATGATTGTGATGTATGTTCCATTCTGACATCACAACTGCCTTCCAATGTCGCTTAGTTAGGAATCAGAGTTAGGAATAGACACAGTAGAGAAATTCAAGTGTTCAGTGTCTATAAAAAGTATTTATCCCCTTGAATGTTGAAATAAATAATATATAACGAAATTTGGCTTGTGTGACAAAAAAAATTACAAAAAAAAAATACTTTAATACTTCTGTTGATTTAGTTTACCTGATCCTGGACTCTTTATACGAGATTGTTGGTTTTCCATCAGGTGTATAATATCCATTTACCATCAGTCTATCGCTTCTTCTCATAATTTCTAAACCAAAACAGAGGCATGGAGAGTTGGTCAGTAACTTTAACACAAAGTATATCAAACATATGACAAAATTGCAAGACTTTTAATCAGTTTCACCGTCCTAAAACCATTCATGAAATTTAAAACTGCCATTTATTTAACTTTACTCTCATGCAAATCAAAGCATTACTTCTGGAAATGATCAGTCTTCAAATGAAATAACTTTAAACAGCTTTGAAATTTTTCCAGATTTGATTCTTCTCACCATTGTCAAACATGCAAAAAAAAAGAAAAAGATATTTTCCACCCTTGCATACCCTTGCATCTGAAAACAAATAAATTGTTGCATCTTAAATTTAACTTTAAACAGCTTTTAAATCTACAGCTGGAGATCATTTTTCAAGATTTGGACCTTCTAACTGTTTTGGTAGTTTCAAACAAATTGTCAAATATACAACGCTAAAACAATCTTTTTAATATTTTTGCATAAAATAGAAAAACTATTAAATTTTAAATTGTAAAAACNCCAAGTGCACATATGGACACCCTTATGTTTGAACTTGGTGTTCGTTATGGACAATCCGTGACGAGCACAGAAATCCAACAACAGAACACCACTCGAGCTCAGATCGGGGGTGCCGTTCCTCCCAACCACGCCCCTCCAGGTCTCACTGTCATTGCCCACGTAAGCGTTGAAGTCCCCCAGCAGAACAAGGGAGTCCCCAGGAGGGGACCCCCAGTACCTCCTCCAAGGACTCCAAGAAGGGTGGGTAATCTGAACTGCTGTTCGGCCCGTAAGCACAGACAACAGTCAGAACCCGTCCCCCCACCTGTAGGTGGAGGGAGGCTATCTTCTCATTCACCGGGGTAAACCCCAACGTACAGGCGCCAAGATGGGGGGCAACAAGTATGCCCACTCCTGCCCGGCGCCTCTCACCGTGGGCAACTCCAGAGTAGAATGTCCAGCCCCTCTCAGGGAGACTGGTTCCAGAACCAGAGCCATGCGTCAAGGTGAGACCGACTATTCCTAGCTGGAACCTCTCAGCCTCACACACCAGCTCCAGCTCCTTCCCCACCAGAGAGGTGACATACCACATTCTGATGTTTCCTGTCTGATTCACCTCCACATTCACCTACCTCTGTCTGTACTTGCTACCCTTTATATACCATCTTCTGGTGCAAACTTTCCATGAACTCGGAAGTCATAGACACAAGTATACTTCACATGGCCCCAGTTGCTACTGATGTCTAACTTTATGTAGCGGAAAGCTGCTCTTCTGTGGCTCTGTAATGACAAAATCATGTTAGCTGAATATCAAATCGGTAAAGCTCAATAGGAAGTTTAATTACATGCATTCACTGTTTTGATATTGCAAAGGCCAGCAAGATTTCTAATATTTCTTGAATATTTTCCATCTTCTCATTTAACAACCACAAATGTCAATGAATTTGATATTTTATGTGATAGACCAACAGAACATAACACATAATAGTGAAGCGGATGCTGATGTGAGGGTGGTCTTCATTATCAGAGCTATAAATACAGACCAGTCCTTGAAGGCAACCTGCAGAAGACTTAAAAACTGGGTGGACAGTAGGACAACAACCCTAAACATACAGTCAGCAATACAATAGGAAGGTTTAGATGAAGCATCTTATATGATAGGTGTAGTCAAAGTCCAGACATAAATCCAAAACAGAATCTGGCAAGACTGAAATAGATGCTCTGCATCCAGTTTGACCGAGATTAGCCTACTTTGTTTTCATGTATAATTTTTTATCCGATTCACAAATATGAGCTACTTTCTGTTAGCATGTTTCTGTTATCATGTCCCAATAGAATACAAGGATGTTTGTATTTTAAACATTGAAGCACTGAAAAGTTCAATAGCTATAAATATGTTGCAAAATGATTAAGCAAAGTAGCTAAACAAGTAATTGGGATAAACGTACCGGTAGCTCAAAGGTCTGAAGAGGATCTCCATTCTCATTGTACAGAAAGGTTCCCAGGTGAGTCCACTCCTGTTCGGGATCCCTCATTCCCTGCAAAACAAAATTAGACATTATAAATGTCTATAAATATCTCTGAAAGTTAGACTGAGTGTTGCTATTTAATATTCAGATACTTGTGGCTTACATAGACAGAAAACTCCTTGGGAGCACTCCAGGAGTTGCCAGTCGGGGACAACATTTTAGGCAGATGACCCAAGGTTACATGACTGACAATAACTCTGTGGGACAGGGCGATGGATAAATGTCCCTGGGACCCTTCAAAGCCCCAGCACTCTCCTGGTTGTAGGCGAGTCCTCCCCTGGAGAGAAGAAGAGTTCAAAGTTTCAGTGGGATGTTAAAATAATAGACAAAAAGCCTTCTAAATATTGCATCATATAGAAATACCATTCTGCTTCATATTTATGTTACATTATGATCATAGTTCATGTCATACCTGGAGAACAACGTCTGGTGTGACTGACGGCATATGTAATGCAATTCCAAACCAATTTAGGGTCTGTCTTTGTTTGGGATGTACAGCTGATGGCATATAGGATAACAGCTTTGCTCCTGTTTTCAAACACACACAGAAAGTGAATTAAAATCATCTAAGCCTGAAACATTCAGTCAGATTTATGATAGTAATGACTTACCTTGTGATTTCAAAGCAAAGTTGGCCATCGTATCTGCCAACGGAAAAAGGTAGTCAACCTTGTTCTGAAGGACATCCATCCCCTCCTTCCCTTTCTGAATTTGTCTGTCCTCATCTTCACATTCTGGGCCCGAAACCTAAACACAATTGAAGTTAGATATTTGGTCATATCACTGCAGAGGACATTCATATAAGGGTTTTGATTAACAGAAAGCTTACTGCATTTATGATGGATGGCGAATAAACCGCAGGTTCCATCGTCAAAGGAGCAATAATGGTGGTAAATCCTGACAAATGTGGAGAAATGAGAAGAAGGTGACAGGATTAGTGACACTGCTTTCAGACTAAAAACTCTCTACAAAACTTAGAAATATTGGTGCTTGGCTGTTTGTAGAAGAAAATCATTTACCGTAAAACAAGGCGAGGAATATGACGCTGACATAACAATGTTTCAGCGTGTACATCAACAGGCCCCTGTTGATGCTGCTGCTGTTGGTGTTGTTTGTTGATGAGGTCTTTCTTCTTTCTGTGTGGGAATACCGACGGTATGTCCACTTCCTGTTCAGCCAAGGTAGAACAAACACAAATATGTAAACAGATACATAGATCCTAACATTATTGAGTTAAATTTGCAGGGTTTTTTGGAAAAGTATTTACTTCCCTTGAACATTTTCACATCTTGATTTTAATTACCCATTACTTACCCAGGAAGTCACCACTGAGAATAAGAATCTATTATTCCAGGGAGACTTGGGTTATTATTCAACGTAATCACATTGCAAACACAAACTTTGTAAAAAATTTTGAACAGCCATACTTAGTTCCACATCTCTTTTGATCTGAGTTTGCAATTTTAATGTATGTACAGTATTGTTTTCCTATGCTGTAAATTAACCCTTCCCTGCACAGCCTCTTGTTTTTATTTTTCCCATCATATATTTTTAAGTTAGTATGGATTTGCATTCAAACTAAGGTCCTTCAGGTCCTTTTTCCTATAATTTACTGCTTGCTGTAAAGTGTATATAAAAATACTCACTCCCCCTGTATGTTTTATCATTTTACAGCTTTTTCATCAAAATTGGGCATTTTTGTCATAAAAAGTATACTAAAGATCTTATAATGTCATTTGAAAACTAACCTATTTAAAAATAATAATAAAAAAATATTGTTAGGTATTTTGTACTATTATCAACTATTTGTTATACTTTTATAATGTTCTTACCTTATGTACTCTTATTTGTTTTAGTCATATCTTTTAAGAACTGTTTCTGTGTTGTTAATCACTCTGATTTCCTTTCTCAGAGGGCCTCTCTGAAGAAGAGTAGAGACAGCAGCTCTTCACAGAACGCCCTGCTTTGAACTGTTAAGATAGCTATAAAACCATCGCCGTGAAGATTCACAACTTGTCCTGTTTGATCCTGGGTCAGGAACTAGATAAGCTAGTGTGAGATAGATTGTGTTGTTAGTTAGTGATAATCTTGGCGCTGTGACTGTGTGATGAAGTGTTTTTCCCCCTCCCTTTAGAGTTACAGTGCTCTCTGTGATTAGGGATCCTAAAGACAATAAAAAGAGGGGCAGGCAAATGTGCTTCAGAGCAGCAGGAGATTTGTAACTGAAAGCACATCTCTGTCTGTTCTCCTCGCGAGTATTCAGAATCTAACTTTCTCTTGTCTTTCCTGTGTTATTTAGTCTGTGTTTAATAGGTGTCAACTCTGACATGGCTGCATAAATATTCACGCCCTTTAAAAGTGACTGACCTAATTCAAAGAAGGTCCAGCCAACATTAAAGGTTTTTTTTGTTTTGTAATTTTTTTTTTGTCACACAAGCCAAATTTTG